GATAACCCCTGGAGCTTGGGACCAAAGGTTCTAAAGCATAAAGGACAAACACTAAAAGGTACAGGCAATGGGAAGCCAGGGGACAGTGTCTAATGGTGCAGATATGTGTGTTAGAGAATCAGTAGACTATGGTGTCCTAGGGACACAGAATTATGAACTAGGTTGAACCAGATGTTCAGAGCTATTGTTTCCATCTAGGAGTCTTGATTGGGTTTGTTTTTCTCACCAATTAAAGAGTTAAAAGGCAAGAAAATCTCAGACATAGCAGGCAGTAAGAGGTAACAAGCTTTATTACAGGTGAAGAAATGCACACACAGCAAAGTACTCAGAAAGAGAGTCCAACAGAGCAGGGAGGGGACTTAGAAACCAAAGTCCATTTTCCCACTGGAGGGATGGAGGTTTTAAGCTGCTTTGAATGGATCCTCTTCCTCTCATTTCTGACTGGTCCACTTAGAAGAAAGGGGCTTGGATAGGCCCACAGTATTAGATCAACTTGTTCAGGACTGGTCTTGAACATGTTTAAGATGCTCAAGTGGCCTGGAGCAGTAAGCCAGAAAAGAGGCCCCATTGACACGAGGAAAAGCCTGCAAGGCCTTTATCTCAGGTCAGGATGGTAAAGAAGGTGGAAGTCTGTCATCTTTATTATTTATCTGTAGCCCCTGTCCCTTCCAGGGATCTGTCTGGTTCCTACTCTCTCACTATAGAGAACCCACACTTGAGCTTGAGAAACGAGAATTCTTGATATCCCTCTATGTAGGTTCAGCCAATACAGAAACAGGGTTTCTATGGAGACTGGTATTAGGGAAGTTAAAAATATTAGGATTCAAGATATCAGGAAGTATGAGAATTCATGAGGAACTGAAGTCTGAATCACAGGGATAGAAGCCCACCCTTATGACAGGCCAGTTAAAGTGGGACCACAAGTTCAAGGGCAGCTTGAGCTACAATCAGACCCTTTTACCGAATAAAAATGTGTTGTTGTTGTTAGAAAGACTGGGGTGTGGCTCAGTGGCCTAGTACTTTCCCCAGCATGCACAAATTCCTAGGTTCCATCCCCAGAACCATCCACACAAACAAAAATAACACAGAAATGGATCACAAGGGTCACATAGAGATGAAATAGAAAATGGTAGTCCAATCCATGTTTTAGTGTCTCCAGGGTGTAGCTGAAAGTTTTCCCGTGTTCCACCTGGCCCATGGTCAGGACAAATCTCTTCTCACCCACCAGTCCCACAGCCACTTGGACCAAAATAAACACACACAGGCTAATATTAATTTTAAACCATGGCCATGGTAGGCTTTTTGCTATCTAGTTCTTATGTCTTAAACGTACCCATTTCTATAAATCTGTACTTTGCCATGTGGTACTTTTATATCTTGCTTCTCATGGCGGCAACTGGCAGTGTCTATCCCAGCCTTCTTCCTGGTTCTCTCTTTGAATTTCCCACCTGCTTGTAAGCTGCCTTGCCATAGGCCAAACAGCTTTATTTATCAACCAATCAGACCAACACATATTCACAGCGTACAGAAAGACATTCCCCCATCACTTCCCCTTTTCTGTCTAAACAAAAGGAAGATTTTAACTTTAACCTATTAAAATTACTTATTACAAAAGTTATCAAGCAAGAATGTTATAATATCTAGTCTATTTGTATTTTGTAAAATTAAAGAAAAAAATTTCTATCTATCCTATATTTGTGAGTCTAAAGTTTCATATCTAATTTATCTTATCAGAACTAAGGAAAATTATATCTAGTCTTCAACTACATCAAAGACCTCAGAAGACTACAATAGTACCTAAGTAAACAAGAAGAGCATTGTAAGCAACTTCCAAAAAATCTAGAATGACAGAGACAGCTGCCAGCCTGGACAGTCATCCAAAGTTCCTCTGTAACATTGAGGCATCCATCTTCAGCCTATAGGGCTAGTCTCTCAGTCACTTTTCTCTGTGTCCTGTAGAATGTCTGGCAGTTTCTTCTGTGAATCGGGAACCTGAAGGACCATCTTGCCTTGCAAAGTTCAGTGGTCACCTTCCTATGGGTCCTGCATGTCCAGTCGATATAACATTTTGTCAAACAGTCCAGGCAAGAACAGTTTCTTGCCCAAATGGTTATTTTTGCCAAGAAGAAGATAAACTCCATATGGTGTGTCTTCGATGCCCATCTTCCTCTCTGAAGTAAATCAGTGCTGCCGGGAGCAGACTAAGTTTTTAAAACATTTTAAATGCCATATTCTGTAGGTCTTTGAAGTGTTTGATTACCTACCTTACTGAAATATATCTATGTATACCTAGAAAACTTAACATGACTATAAGTTTGACTATCACAGAAGACTAATTATTAATCTGTATTTCTTAATTATCCATTATAATTTAAATGAGCTGTACAAACAGAATACCTTAAACAAGAGTAGAAATATACATACAGTATAACAAAATTAGCTTTAAATTTGTATCAATTAACTAAAATCTATACCAATGTAAAACATTTTAAACAAGTTGTTGCTCTTTAAAAGTTCAATAATCTACCCTTTCTTCCTATCATATCTATACTATCCCCTTTCTTCTTTAGAAAGAGATTGCATTTTTCGAGACAGAGTTTCTCGATGTAGCTTTGCGTCTTTCCTGGAACTCACTCTGTAGCCCAGGCTGGCCTTGAACTCACAGAGATCTGCCTGGCTCTGCCTCCCGAGTGCTGAGATTAAAGGTGTGCACCACCACTGCCCGGTCATTTATGTATTTTTTTAGTAGATGCTGGGACAATCAAATTGCAATTGCACTTAGATTATTTTAGTTTGAGCAAAAGAATGCAACATTTAATGTTAATCTTCCCAAAATGATGGAATTGCATCGTACATGACTGGGTACATTGAAATGTTAAAATCTTTAAATTTGTGTGACAGAGGCTGGATTTGTAGCCCAGGCTGTTCTCTAATCCATGTTCTCTCTGTCTCAGCACTGCCACACTCCGCTTGATGAAAGATGCAGATATCAACTGGAAAACCAGGGAGGTGGAAGATGGTCTCTTAGGGTTGAGGGTCTCTTGGGAGTATAATTTCTTTTAGGGACTGTAGATCTCTGGCCTAGAGACCTTTGCAGTCTCTTTACCAGCTGAGGTTGGTTGTGCCTGACTTTGTACTTGCAAACAGATGTGCATTACCTCACACTGCAATTCTCCCTGCCTCGAGGTGGTTCCCACCATTTCATGGACCGGGAAGAGTAGGGCCTACAGATTATTCCACAGCTGCCTGGCCCTCAAGACTTGTAAGTGTGGGTACTCAGTTCTCAATAAAGGGTGGCTACTGGGTTCTGGACTCTACCTACTTCCTAAGCCACAACATTCTTTATACCCGGCATCCCACATTAATCCTTCAACAGTATTTTCATGTTTTTCTTTACTTTTGGTTCTCTCCTGTCAGCATTGTAACAGCCATTTCTGCTTCCAAAAATAGCCTGCCTTCAGTGTTTGCCCACTCAATTCCAGTTGGCTACTCCCCTCAGAGCCACAGCCAGGCTCTACACTCACTCAATTTTTCATTCTAATTTCTAAAGTGTTCCCAAATCCATGTACAAAATATTCAATGCAAATATTCAATACAATGATAATATTCTCACTGTAATCCTATGAAACAGCCTGATACGGAATCAGATCCCAACCCCGTTCCCATGGGAAAACTGCAGTGGGTCCTCCCATATTCCATCAGTTGTCAGCATCCCACTTCCATGTTGACCACACATCCCTCTTTCCAGATGTCCTGGAAAATTTTCCAGATCAGTATGAATATGGGCCTAATTCAGTCTTTTTTTTTTTTTTTTAACACTATGCAGTATTTTGTAGAAAAAGTATGCCCTAATTCCTTAATGCTTTGTAGATTATTTTGAATTTGTAACTTTATTGATTCCTAGGTTATTTTACCATTTTCACAACCAGTGACATTACCAGTTCTTATCAAGAAAGCTCTATCAGTTTGTTCTCACCAGCAGTGGAAGAGTTTACAGCCAAACAATGGCCATTTAAATTTGTATTTTTCTGTTAATTTATTATTTTTACATTTGTTGGATCTTTGTTTGTGTATGTTCACTTACCAATAACATTATTTACCTAGGTTAAATTTTCTTTTCCTCACTAATTTGAGAACTATCACAAAGAAATGGTGAATCCTGTGGATTCTGGAACAGAGCATGAGGGTTACATATATCTGTCACTTGCAATGTTCCAGAAATGTTAATTTAGTGTTAATGTTTATTTTATTAGGTTGGTAAAATAATGCATGCAACACCAAGGATAACCTGATACACAATAAATGCTCAATGATAGCCAGTCTTTTATATTTTACACATTAGTTCTTTATTATGTTGTGAATAATCACCTTTTGTGTTTACCTTATCTACAGATATATGTAAGGAAGGAGTTTTAAAGTATTTTATTAGCACATGTTAACATATTATATATAATAGTTTCATTTATTTTCATACATGGCCTCTCTTACACACACACACACACACACACACACACACGTTTGTTAAATCTTGTCACCTTTCCACTACTTTTCAGAAAGGTATTTTATTAATGCAATCAAGTCTATCATCTCTCCGTCTGTGGATGTTACTGTAAGAGACTTTTGTCAGAACCATTCACTGAATTGGCTGCCTCAGGGAGTTCTCCTTTCCATCAGTCTACCTTAGCAGTTTGGTCAGGACCTCAAGGTGCTTTTCATCTTCCAGACTCAATTACTGTTCTTTCACAAAAAACAAATGTTGGCTGTTCCTTTTTATGTTTTACCAGAAGAACAGTGTTTCTTTTCTTATGGTTTCTCTTTCCACATCATACTTCCAGAATGTTCTTATCTGTTGAATTGCTTAACAAAGAACCTCTAAGCAGAAAACAATGAATCATCAGTCATATTTTCTGCTGCTTGTTAATGTTTCCAACTTGATGTTCCATAATCACCTTGTTTTGGTTTTGTTTCCTGTTGTGATAAAACACCCTGACAAAGGCAACCCAAGTGAGAAAGAATTTATTGGATCACAATCCCAGGTTTCAGTCCATCACTGCTAGGAAGCCAAGGCTGCAGAACTTGAAGACGCTAGTCAGTCAAGAGCAGAGAGCAGTGAAGTAATTCCTGAACCCTAGGGCTCAGCTGTCTCTTTTATTCAGTCCAGAGACCGGCATGTATGTGAAATGGTGCTGCCCCACATTCCACTTCAATTAAACCCAATAAAGAACAACACTCACGGGGCTAAAGAGATGGTTCAGTGCTCAAGAGTGCTTGCTGCTCTTGCACAAGACTCGAGTTTGATTCTCAGCACCAGAGAATTCGATGTCCTCCTGTGCATGCACATGCTTACACTAATGCACACACACACACACACACACAGTAATGTCCCCCACAGAATGTTCACAGGCCAACCTCATCTAGACAGTTCCTCATTAAGATTCCCTACTCAAGTCAGGTGGTGGTGGCACTCGCCTTTAATCCCAGCACCTGAGAGGCAGAGCAGGTGGATCTCTGTGAGTTTGAGGCCAGGCCTGGTCTGCAAATCAAGTTCCAGGACAGCCAGGGCTATTACACAGAGAAACCCTGTCTCGAAAAACCAAAAAGATTCTCTAACTGAGGTGATTTTAGACTGTTTCATTAACCATTAAAAGTAAGCAACATATACACTAAACTTCTAAAATTGAATTCCATATATAAAATTATATATATGAAAATCAGACAAGCTTTAAGACATACTTGTTTTTTTTCTTTACATTATAAACAGTATATATGGAACATTTCTGTACAAAAGACTATATATATTTGTAACAAATATGCATGCAATACATGTGGGAGCCCACAACTGACTCAGTTTTCCAGTTTGAATCTGAAGTCTATTCTGAGTCAACAGAGTTCAAGCTTGTTTGCTCCAGGGCTGTGAGAAAGACCTGATTAGCCCATGGGAAAGAACATACTATCTAGCTAGATGCAGGCTGCTGCTGACAGCTAGAGATACGCTGAGATAGAAAATGAAACTGCCTGCTCCTTGACACAGGCAGGATAGACAGTGGTTGAATGCCTGTGCTGTGCATTGTTCTACCTCTGTCCTTCAAGACTGTACATAAGCTGGCTGTGAAATAAACTCAGGACTGTCCGGCACTGACCGGCAGACCTCTCAACTCTGTTCTGTCTTCTTCATTGTCTCTACAATCCTCACGCCCTCAACCAGATACCCAGCTGACTGTTGGCAGGCTCCAGCAAACACACAAAAGTGAAAAAAGTAGGTCTGAGAACAAGAGAAGACATTTGGTTTTAACTTTGTAGTGCCTCTTTCATTTCTGTACCACAACAGGCAATGACTATTTGAAAATCAACAGTAGTATAAAGAACCACCTCCTCAGTCCCATTCAGTTCGTCCCTTGTTCTAGCTGCTGATCACTGTCAGTCTCATTCACTGCCTCTCCACATACACACTCCTTCACCACGTTCTGGGAATCCCTGCTCATTTAACCCCACCACCAAATATGTTCAGTAAGGGAAGCATTAGGCTGGAGAGGAAAACATGGAGGGTACTGTCAACACAATGCTCCAAGTGCAACCAAGACATACCCAGCAATTACACCACACACAGCATTTCTTAAATGATTCTTTTGACCATTTACAATTATTTATTTATGTAGGCAGTCATAAAATATTTTTGTAATATACATAAGAAAAACCACATTTAGATGAGTAAGAAATATAATGGCAGGTGATAGGATTTAGTGTTTATAAATGAAACCATCAATAATTAACAGTCAGAGAAGAAATTCAAACTGTATTTAAAAACTGAAGCCATGTATTTCAACATTTCTAAATTGCAAGAAGGTATTGGGCTTTTAGAGGTAATATGGCTTACTATTTTTTCAATGATCTCAAAACACTTCTAGAAACTGTCATAGATGGATTTGAAAGGAAAGAAAAAGACAAGAACTTTGGCAAGCAAAGTAGTAGTTCACAGCAGCTTGGTAAAAGTTTAAATCTTTTTATGTAAATGTTCTTCAATTTATATTTGTTCTTATGATAAGAGGAAAAATTAATATGTTAATATGAGGAATCCCTAAGCTAGATGAAAAAATAACTATTTAATAAAGCTTGAATACTATGAAAATGTGCACCACACTGCATAAATAGAAACGGAGTGAATGCAAGCCATGTGATTTTTAATGCTTCTATACAAAACACTTAGCTCCAAATATCACATAGTGTCACTATCTCCACATCTCTTCAGAAAGTAGCCCCAAGTCCATATTAAACTAATAAGCTTTTGTTGTCTTTTCTCATCCTATCACTAAACATGTTTCTGCAAAACTCTTTGAGAGTGTATTCAGTACTATAGCAACAAGTCATATCATGAGCCATGAATGATCACAACCTTTTTAAAAAACCACTGAGGCTGGAGAGGGAATCATCAAACCAGAGGTTTCTGTTTGTGACCGAGGGGGACCTTGATACCTCAAAAGCAAAGCTCCAAAGGACAACTCAGAACTTGATTAAGATTTTTTTTTTTTGTCATGAAAAACTGGCTAATTAGGTTTCTAGAAAATGAGACTCATGAATCGACTGTCAAACACTTATGAATGCAAGAGAAACTGGGTGAAGTTTTACATAGAAAAGATATAAATACTGCATATGTAGTGAATATTTGCACAGACCCTTTTACATTTAAAGCATAAAATACAACTTGTAAATCTGATGCTCCTAACTATGTCTTCTTAAGACACTTTTTGACACAGCTCTCGAAGCCTCTCCACGATGCGGAAGTTCCCACACTTTAAGGCTTCCCAACGGGCTTGTAGCAAGCATCAGGCTGCCAGAGGCGGATATCAACAATCACCTGGTTGAGTTTCTGCATCCAGAGATCCCGCTCCTCTTTAGTATCAGCAGAGAGCCAGTTCCTGCAAGGGTAAGCAGAAGTCAGTCTCCCTCCCACCATTCCATGCCCCCACACCCTTGCTAGGAGAACACAAATCCCTACAAACCAAGATAAGAGCCCCACCGGGAAGAGCACAACAGAACACTGTCACTCTTGGTCTGGTTAACTAACCATAGCTCACACTCGTTTCTTAGTGTTCTTGGATTTTGAGATGGAAGCTCAGGTCTCATTGAGTGACTGGGACATCCCCATAGTTCTATCCAGCAACAACAGGATGAGTAGACTGTGTCACGCTCTAATCTCCATCCCTCATCACAACCCACTCACTGAAGACCATCTTCAGGCTCTCTTGGGCATCTGTGCTGGGCAGTCTTTTTGCTGACCTGGTACAACTAGGGTCATCTGGGAAAGGGGAATCCTTTCCTCAAGCTGCTCTTTGTTTAGCTTGCTAGCCTTCAACCAGACCATCAATAATATTTTCCACAAGCCTAAGACTAAAGCTGGCAATTCCTTAGTTGACAGAAACAACACGGGACCAGTACATACTTGGTGACACAGAGTGTGTCCCTGCATTGGCTGACAAGAGTCTCTCGGTCGTCCTCTCTTTGTGGTCGGACAGTAATTAATTCCAGAGTGTTGCGTCTTGCACAAAATTCTCTGTTGGCTGGTTCTACCTGATGACTGATACAATTGGCCAGATTTATCCTTCCTATGGGATTCTTTAAAAATAAAATATAGAAAGTATTAGTAGGAAACAAGCAAGGTTATTTAAATCAGTAAGCATTAAGCAGTGCTTAAGCTGGCATAAAGTTAGAAAATCGTTATTTAAAATTTAATATTTAACAACCAGAAACAAATAGGCATGACGCAGCCAAGCATGGGAAATGGCTTAGCAGCCTGGGACTTCACTAGGCTTGGGTCTCACACACACCCTCTCTGCTCAATGAACTTAACAACCTCTTGGCAGCCCTAGGACCCTCACCTGCAGCAGGCTGCACATATATCTGCTTTAAACAACAGGAACAAGTTTTCCCTTATCAAACACCCGATAACAGCCAGTTTCTATTCAAACACAGAAGAAAACAATCCAGGAACTGCAGGCAATGGACTGCTCTGGCCCACTTGGGTTTGGGTGCATGCTCAAAAATATTAATCTATGTTCCCACATAAACTTTTAGGAAACACCCTATTTACCATCTTATGACTATGTATGCATATGCGGACATACATGTGCACACATTTGAACATGCTTTCTCACACATACACTGTGCACATCCCAAAACATTGTATATCATTAAAAACCAATATAGAAAAACTCATTTTAGACAACAGAAAGTTCCTCAAATTTTTTAAAACTAGAATTACCATATGATCCATTATAGTCCCATTATAGCAATGGTTCTCAACCTATGGGTCTCAACCCCTTCAGGGGGTTGAATGACCCTTTCTCAGTGGTTGCCTAAGACCATCCTACATATCAAATATTTACATAACAATTCATAACAGTAGCAAAATCACAGTTATGAAGTTGCAATGAAATAATTTTGGGGTGGATGGGGTCACCACAACATGAGAACAGTATTAAAGGTCACAGCGTTAGGAAGGTTGAGAACCATTGTACTAGGATTAGTGGGATTACTCTGGAAATAAAATCAATGTGTCAAAGAAATCTCATTGCAGGATTATTCACAACAGTTATGATATGGGAAAAACCTAAGGATCCATTAAAATAGGAATTATTTGAAAACTGTGGCATACATATACAATGGGTTATTGTTCTGCTTTAAAACAAACAAACAAACAAACAAACAAACAAACAAACAAACAGAGAACTGCTGGGCGGTGGTGGCGCACGCCTTTAATCCCAGCACTCGGGAGGCAGAGCCAGGCGGATCTCTGTGAGTTCGAGGCCAACCTGGTCTACAGAGCGAGATCCAGGACAGGCACCACAACTATAAAGAGAAACCCTGTCTTAAAAAACCAAAACCAAACCAAACCAAAAAAAACCCAAAAAACCCCAAAAAAACAAAAAACGAAAACCAAACCCCCCAAACTTTGTGATTTGTGAAGGATGAGACAGAACGAAGCTAGAAGACATTATATCACAGTAGCAGAAGTAAATCAGATAAATCAGGCACAAGACCCAGCTGCACCACTGCTTGGCGTGTGCCCAAAGGACTCAACGTCCTATCCACAGATAGTTGCCATGTTCACTGCTGCTTAATTCACAATAATTAGGAAATGGAGACAACACAAATGTCCTTTAACTGATGAATGGATAATGAAAATGTGGTCCACACATACTATGGAATACTACTCAGCTGTAAAGAAAATGAAATCATGAGATTTACAGACGAATGGATGGAATCAGAAAATATAGAGTGAAGTAATCTAGACCCAGAAAGATAAACACTGTATGTTCTCTCTCTTCTGTGGCTCCTAGTTCTAAGTCCAGCTGTGAGCATATGACCTGAAGTAAATACAGAAACCAAGAAAGTCAAAGGGGATGGATCATGGGAGTGAGGAAAGCCCTCCAGACAGAGGAATAGCAGATGCAGGTAATAGGAAGAAGAAAGGAAAAAAGTGGTGGGGAGGTTTAGTTGGGGACGTGGTGCAGAAGAATAGGTAGGAGGAAGAATAAACAACACAAGAATATTTGAAATGACCACAGAGAATCATACTATATTCACCTAAAATTGCATGTAATAAATGTTATTGTATATGTACACATAGACAGACACAAACACAAAGAACAATCTGCACAGCCCACTCATCCTGACAAAAGCTGGTGCTATATCAAGTGCCTGTGGGAACGGAAAGCTTTTCTAAGAACACGTAGTGCCAACTGCAGGACTCAACTGCGAGCAAAGCTAACCAGACAGGAAAAGTATGTTCAGTGTGTGCCTGAGTCTGATTCACTTAAGGCTCAAGTCCTAGCTCCTCTCTACACCTCTGACAGCAACTACAAACTGATTTCAACATCCATGGCATCACTTGAACTAGCAGCAGAGAAAAACCAATTAGATGTGCACAATACTCTGTGCACTCCACATATACACCCTTCTCTGAGAAAGGCCAATCCTGTGACGTGTGGCTTGGGTTAATTCTTCACCTCCCATGACCTTGGCTCCAAGAACTATAATAGTTCATGTTTTCCATGCTCTCTATCTTCAACCTCACTGGCCCTATTAAAAGCCACATAAGTGCATTTAAACATAGCAATGTGGAAATCTAAGTGTGCACAAACAGAATAATAAATCAATTCATTGTGACATGCTCTCACAATAGAATCCTACACTTTCAAGGAAAAGGAACAAACTAGGGCAACATCCACCAACTAAGACTAGCTCCACATCCCATGCTAACCCCCCAAAGCAAGATGTACAATAAACATGTAATGTTTAACAACATGCAGTTAAAATAACACAACTAAAATGCTATGGAATATATAGGCACAACATACTTTTAGCATGCGCAATCTCTCTGGTAGAAGAGAAAGTCATACAGGGAGCCCCATCTAGACTGGTAACAGGAGTTGACTCAAACTATCTTTTTTTTTGGTTTTTCGAGACAGGGTTTCTCTGTGTAGCTTTGCGCCTTTCCTGGAACTCACTCTGTAGCCCAGGCTGGCCTTGAACTCACAGGGATCCGCCTGCCTCTGCCTCCCGAGTGCTGGGATTAAAGGCGTGCGCCGCCACCACCACCCGTCAAACTATTTTTTTATGCTTTTTTGAATCTCTTAAATGTTTAGACTATATATTTTTTTAAATAATAATTTTAATTAGAGGCTAGAGAGATGGTTAAGAGCACTCACAGTTCTTACAGATGACCCAGGTTCAGTTCCCAAAAACCACATGGTGGCTCACAACCACCAGTACTCCAGTTGCAGGGGGATCTGATGCCCTCTTACTGACCTCCATGTGTACCAGGCACACATGTGGTGCAGATATACATGCAGGCAACACACTCATACACATAAAATAAATAAATCTTTTCTAAAAATTAATAATTTTAATGACTATAATATAATGCTATTTAGTATAATGTAATGCTGTTTAGCAACTAATAAAAACATTATGTCTATTGCTTTAGAAAGATCTGATATCTTCTAAAATAAAAATTAATTATAAAAGTGCTTGTTTTGTTTGAAAAGGACAAATCCATAAAAAGGGTCTTGGGGTCCAGGTAAGCAGTAAGTAAGTATACTAATACAAGGCTCGGGCCCAGTCTCCAGCACTAGTTAGGAGGGGAAGTAGGAGAACAAGGGAATGATTCATAGATGCATATATAATCACTATTGCATATTTTTGGTTGTAGAAGGGTACACAAGCAAATCATGAACAGTTATTTGTTAATGCATACAGAAGGGAACGGAGGGGTGGGGTCAGGGGACATTCACTCATGGAACACCACAAAAGCCCAGCAGGACTAACTAGAGTTGTGTCAATTTACCTTTCTCCTCTCGTCATCTGGGTAAGTCCAGTAGGAGACACAGTTTCCAGAGAGAACACACCATCTGCGATGCCAGGCACCAAAGCCACTAACATCTTCAAATATTGTCTGGAAGTCAATTGAAACACTGACATTAGAAAATTAAGGAAAATGTCCATATCTGTGACATTTTAATGTGAAAACCTATTTGTATGAGTTTATTGTATCTTTTACTTCAGTAATGAAAGTCAGATTGTCCCTATCAAAATGCATTTAAGAATATCTAGATCAAGCTAGGCGTGGTGCTTGTGATCACTGTGAGTTCAAGGTCAGCCAGAACTGTAAACGGTATAGAAGTTCACAGGGATGTACAGACTTCGGACCTGGGGAATCTCACTATGTGATGTTTTCTTATTTTCAAGTTCTTTATAATGAATTTTTAATTGTTTGAAAAAAGATAAGAGATTGAGTAATGTTTAAAGAATGGTTAGATTATCAAATGTGATAAAACAGTGTCAGCAAAAAACTATAGCATGGAGCTGAGTGTGTTGGCCCATGCTTTAATCCCAGCTCTCAGGAGGCATAGGCAGGTGGATCCATAGTGAGTTCCAGGATGACCAGTGCTATGGAAGTCCTTACAAAGAAAAAAAGAAAAAAAAAAAAAAAAAAAAAAAAGCAACCAAACAAAAAAATAAGAGAGTAATGGCAAAATTGAGATGGCCAATGTATATTCTTTGTGAAACGATGCCAACATCTCTAGGCAGCTGCCGTTTTTCACAGTAAAATGTAGAAAGAAACCCACCACTTCTGTTTCAAGTGTCAGAAAGAGAAGTAGGTCCCCCCCCGCCCCCCACACACACAGGGTCCTTTCTCAGCAGCATCCCACCACCCAACTTGTGTAAGGCAAGATCAGTCTGAGCACTCTCCTGCCCTTTCCCTTCTCATCCCTGCAGACAGGTCACTAGGACCTGCCCATCAGCTACCCATGCTAGCCTTCTCTCATCCCAGCTGGTCTCTCTCATCTCTCATGTGGAGTGGCTCTGACTTAGTGAGCTAGCCCATCTTTCAGGATTTCTGCTCTCTAGTCCACCTTCTACACACCAGTCACAGCGATTTTCCTAAACCCCAAATGTGGTTATTTTCATCTGGTAAAACTCTGTAATAGTCACTCAATTGGCTTTAGAATGAAGCCCAATTTCTTTAAACTACTTGGTTCATTTCTCTGACCATACACAGTCTTCTCCTCATTCCCCACCTCTGTCCCCAGGCTAAGCTTTTACTATCCTGAAATATTCAGCACTCCCTCCTCCTTCTCTTTGGGTTGGGGTGAGAGAGGGAAGGGACACCCAGGACACTGTTCATAAGCTGCAGCATTTCTCTCCTTCCCTCTGCTGACTTCCTGAGCAGGTTAGGAGCTAGTACCCAGTGGCTCCTGCCCTCAGCTCACAGCAGTGTGCCCTACACTGCTGGTTGGCTCACTTCCTTCCTCCATACTAAACTCACAGCTCCTCCTGGGCCAGCAGGTTGGCTTAATGGATAATGGCACTTACTGCCAGCCTCATGACTTAGTTTGATCCCCAGAACCCACAAGGCAGAGAGAATCAATTTCTGCAAGTTGATTTCTGACTTCCACAAACACACTGTGGAATACATGCGCACCTCCCAGATAAATAAATATAATTAAAAAATGTAAAGCTCCTGCAAGTAGAGAGATCCTTTTCTTTGTCGAATGATATCCCAACATCAGCACAGTGAGTGGCTGAGAGGGAAAGGCTTACAAAACCAATTGATCACATAATCACACAGGCTTTCTTCCTTCAGGACGACAGAAGAGAAGGTCATGAAGAACAGGGGATGGATGGTACTCACTAGGAAACCTTTCTCCTCAACACTTGAATTCACTTGACAGCTGATTTTTAAACAGATATGACCTTCCAAAGGAGATAAAAAAGGTACCTGTGAAGAAAAAGGGGAAATTATTTGTAAAAGTGTTTCAAAGTGTGATATTTCTTGACAAATCATGAACACAGAACACTATACCTTGAAAATAAATCATATTCTAAAGCTGTAGCATAAAAGAGCCACTGGTTCCTTAGCAACAGATACTTTTAATTAAAGAATAAATTCGGAAGCTGGAGAAATGGCTCAGTGGTTAAGAGCACTAGTTGCTCTTCCAGAAGACCTGGGTTCAATTCTCAGCACCCACATGGCAGCTCAAAACTGTAACTCCAGTTCCACAGCTTCTGACACCTTTACACAGATACATGCAGACAAAACACCAATGCACATAAAATAAAGAAATCAATCATTTAAAAAAGAATAAATTCATTCAAGGTAGAATTTTACAAAAACAAAAGTCCCAAGCTCCAAATAAGTGAGAAAAGAACGGAGATTTGAGACTAAGAGCTGCTGACTCCTTTATCAGGAGGAGACACTCAGGAGGAGTCTGGATAGACCAACTGTGTACACTGCTAGAACGCAGCATTACATAGCAAAAAAGAAAATAGAACCACAGAAAGGGGAAGCCAATCCTTAAATCTATATGAAATTGCAAGGGGCTGTAAATACAAAATCATCAAAAAGAACACCTGGATGAATCATACTTCCCAGTGTCACAAATTAATTCAAAGCTTCAATAATGGGGCCAGTATGGCAGCAGCAGAGGGACAGATACCCAGGCAAATGGAGCAGGACTGAGAGCCAGGCAAGGGCTGAAGATGTGGCAGAGGACCTGGGTAGCATGCACAAGGCCTGACTCAATCTGCGGTACTAAAGAGACCAGAAATGAGCCCACACAGGGATATGCAATTATTTTTTGTTGCTCTTTTGCCAATTAATTTTTGAAAACCCTGCCAAGACTAGTCTAAGAAATAGAGCAGTCTTGAACAAATGGTATTGAGAAAACTGGAAATTCACATGCAAAAGTGTAGGGCTGGTGTCTTCATTGGACTTGGAGGGAAATGGATGTACTTCATCTTACACATCTAGTCACAGTCCCTTACTGAGGGCGGGCAGGGCAGAACCCGGGGGCAGGAACTGAAGCAGAAGCCAGGAAGGAGTGCTGCTTACTAGCTTGCTCAGCCTTCCGTCTTCTACACCCCAGGACTAGCTGCTTAGTAGTGCCACTGCCCTTCTACATCAATCAAGAAAAGGCCCCACAGGCCTGCCCACAAGCCAATCTGGTGGAACTTTTTCAAGACAGGGTTTCTCTGTATAGGCTTTGCGCCTTTCCTGGAACTCACTCTGTAGCCCAGGCTGGCCTTGAACTCACAGAGATCAGCCTGCCTCTGCCTCCTGAGTGCTGAGATTAAAGGCGTGCGCCGCCACCGCCCAGCTTCAATTGAGGTTTCTTAATCTCAAATGATTCTAGCTTTTGTCAAGTTGGAGAAAAAACAAACCACTGAGCAGGGCAGTTGGACCTCAACCTCATAACATACATAAAAGTTAACCCAGAATAGATTATAACTTAAATATGAGAGCTAATATCACCAAAATATCTTAGAAGAAAACACAGAAGTATAATTTCATGATCATAGATCTAGCAATGAACTGTCAGGTATGATATAAGAAGCACAAGTAACATGAAAATAAAAAAGGTTTCATCAAAATTAAAGGCCTTTCAGAAAAGAGGTTCCTCAGAAATCAAGAACCAAGTCCAGAGACTCACAACTGGTCAAAATACAGGCTACTGAGTGAAGACAAGGGGACTAATGTGACAGAGGGCAGTGGTGTGCAACGTGCTAACTTCAGGGATCACGACATGGGCAGCACATTCTGGAACTCACAGCAGCTGTGACTCCCCTTCAGGAACGCTGCAAGGTTGGGCCTGTCAAGGAAGGGAAAGGTGTTCATAGGGCCTCACCCCTCCCTGAGGATTTACAGGGAGATTAATAGTTGATGGGGGAGGGGAAGACATTTTCTTCAGTGGTGTTGTCACAAAAGGGGCTTGTGTTTCTGGAGTGAATGTGCAGTAAGAGAAAAACAAACTAAAATGCACTAATATGTATATTAATATGTGTTAATAGGAACCTTTAAAAACAATGAACAGAATTATAGCCAAGAGTGGTGGCACAAATTTAATCCAGGCAGTGGGAGGTGGAGCCTGGGATCCTCAGATGCAGAGCAAATTCAAGACCAGCCTGGCTGCCTGAGGCTTTGTCTCCAGACAACACAAACAACACAAAGAGGCCACCAAGCCTTAAACCTGGGTTTCATCCCCAGGACCCACACAGAGGAAGGAGAGATTGTTCCTGAACTTACATACAAGTGCTATGGCATGCACAAGCACACACACACAGAGTAAACAAATGCATTTTAAAAAAAGGACTATCATGACACTGATCACTCTTCTCAGCACGAGACAAAGGAGTTGGTTCTCAAAATCATGTCTGAACTACACACACAGCTGAGAAGCAAAAACACCATGTCAGTCAAACGATGCGGTGCTTGGGAAAGCCAAGAACTCAACAACAGAACCAAAGGACAAAGGCAATGCAAATCAGACTCACAAGAAGGGCGGTTGTAGTGGCTCAAACTTAGTCCTAGCAAGAGGAAGGCCTCAGACGTGAGGGTAGAGCCCGTCCCAAACCAGCACACCACTTCCCAGCTCCCAGGAAGGTTTTGTCTCTATGACAAGAACCATGGGAAGTACAACCGCATATTACCAATGGCTCTTTAGACGGCTAGGCCAAATTATCGTTATGACTCCCCAGTCATGCTTCTGGATATAAGCCCAAAAACTCAAAGAGAGGCACTCATACAATTACATGCACATACAACCACAGAAGCAACTCAAAGTCATCACAGAAGAACAGAACTCACTTTTGGAGACATGGGTTTGTCTTGGAAATAGAGATGATGGCTGTACATGGCCATGAATGTATTAAGTGCCACTAAAATATTCATTTCAAAGTTTCTACTTTTGTTGAATGAATTCTAACTCAATGAATCATTTTTTATTTATAGATCTGTGTGTGTACATGTGTGGAGGGTTTTTTGTTTTTGTTTTTTTTCTTTTTATCATCAAGACAGAGCCTCACTATATAATCCGGGCTGACCTTAAACTCATAGAGGTCCATCCATCTCTATCTCAAGTACTGGGATTAGAGATGTGAACCACCATATCCAGCTGATCATTTTAGAAACAATGAACTCCTAACACATAACATGAATAAGCCTCAAAACCTATCATGTTGAGCAAAAAAGGTTTGACTAAAGAACAAACATGTGATTCCATTTTTAAAGGAAGTTTAACGGAGAGCGAAACTAACCTATGAGGGCAGAAGTGAGAACAGGTGTCTGTGTGGTTGGGACTGATTACGAGGAGTGATGGAAATGCTGTATGCCCTACTTGGTGTTAGCCAAACGGTAATATATGTACACTTGTCAAAACTCACTGAATTTTGCCATAAGGTCTTTACAGTTATCTAAATTTAAATTTTTTATACAGTTTACCATCTGGACTATTTTATATATTTATTATTTGTGTGTGTGCACAGCACACTTTTGATGGAGTTCGTTCTCTCCTGCCTTTACACACTCAGGTCCAAAGCCCTTGTGCAGCAAGGGCTGTAGCCAAGCCATCTTGCCTGCCCCTTGAACAAAGTGTTCTCAGATCTTTTGAGTATATACAGCATGACCACAGTCCCAGTCACATCCGTTCTTATCACCTCCAGGTTTCCTCCTGTGTCAATCTCCAGGGAACTGTGGGCGGACTTCCTATATTACTGCAGATTAGCTTTCATGTACATCATTTATTACAAGAAAAACACGTTTGTTTTGAAGGAAAGAAAGTCAAACACATAAGAAATAGTCTTAACAAGTTATAACAACTCAATTTATGGTATTTGATATTTATAACTGTGTGAAAAGCAAGCACGCATTCAGTAGAGACTGCCCTTTGAATTTTGGTCTTTCCTAGGCTAATAAGGTGCGGCACAACACTGGTGAGTCTCTCAGAGCCGGACATCACTACCTGCCACAGCTTCTCATCAGCCACAGAGAGGCAACTGTTACTTTATGGTGTCTCATGTCCTCAGCAAGCTTTTACCAATTAAAATATTCAACAAAGTACACGAGGTATTCATTACTTTCTTACACAGTATGATTTGTTTGTGAGAGATGAATTTGTCCAAGCACAGGCTGCTGGGATGTTTACGGAAGGGAGAGCTAAGCCACACTGAGCAGCTTTAGGTATCTTAAGTGAACATTCAATTTATGATGAGATTATCAGGATATGAAATCATTTCAAGTTAAGAAGCATCTCTGACAATACACACAAACTCACCCCTGAAAGAGACCCCAACAATGGCCTCAAAAGAATTTCAATTTCCCCACAAATCTCAAGCCGGTGGAGGCAAAGACTAACTTCTGACACTAGGGGGTGCTGCCTCCTCAAAGGGAATTTCAGACAATTTCTCACAAATTGACATATGCGTATTTCCTGGTTCTAGGTTCATTTTTTTTCTATAAAAATTTAACACTGCCATAGGAAATGCTATTTTCCCCTGTTAGGCCAAGCTATAAATAAACCTATTTTTTTCCCTTGCTAATTTATGTTTCTAATTTTTCCTGAAATAGAAGAAAACTAAAGCTTATAGACCTACATGCCAACTAAAAACATTTTCCTCAAACATACAATTATACCCCAAGAGAACAAAAGGGACCTGACAATAATTACTCTGTAGTTGATATACTCATGTTTTTTAAAGCTGCTCTAAAATACACCTAACACAGAGCTCTGTTCATGACAGTACTCATTCTACGCTTGTGACATTTTACTATGGAGTACATACCTAAAGTCAGTCGGCCTGACATAGAAATAGACCAACAGTGAGATCCAGCACACAACTCCCGCTGCAGGAGCCCTGTTTAGTCTCTATGTGAAGAATCTGCACACTACATCTATTACTGCACCATATGATGACTCTTCACTCTTTACTGCAGCTGATATAATAACCCTGGGCAAACAATACCCTCAAAATTATTCCCAAATTCTGTTTACCACATTTATCCTACTGTATGTTTGGAAGATTTATACAGTTAAGTGCCCAGAACTCCACTTCTAATTTAGAGATGAAAACTTACAAAAAGCACACTTTTTTCACTTTAACAATTAAAAACAAACAAACAAACAAACAAACAAAACAAAAACAAAACCCCAAAAATCTGGGTAAGCTTAACAACAACAAAAACTAACTGCTCTTTGCAACAGATAGAGACCGTTACAGAAAACTACACCAACCAAAACACAGAGTTGTGGAGCCCTGGCCTAGCAGATACATCTACAAGCCAACTCTCGCTCCTAAGGCTCAGGCAACATGTGGAAGAGGGTGAGGAAAGATGGTAAAAGCCAGAGGATCAGGGAGTCTGCAGTAAGATGTGTCTCCTAGGAACGTCAGAAGCTATACCCAGAAATTTTCACCAACATGACTGCCTATTAAAGAGGCCATGAATTTGAAAAAGAGCAAGAACAGGGTATATGTAAGAGTTTGAAGGGAGGAAAGGGAAGGGAGAAATTATGTAATAATATTATAATCTCAAAAATAAAATAAAAAAGGTATCAAAAACTTGTTTCCCCATCTTTGAGCTAAGATGAAGACATCAAAGCAGTCCAAAAGCAAACAGACGGGAAGTACTGAATTCCAGGAAGATGTGTGCCTCTGCTAGGTGAGCCAAACTAGGGACCACCTTATCCCCGGGGCAAGGCCCAAGCAGAGGTGCAGGACTGCCATTCACAGTGCATTCAATGAAAAGGAAAAATAGAAAAGACTTGTCAGATCAGTTAACAAACATGCTCGAACAGGCTGTACCTCAGACCTGAACTTGAAGCAGACTGACAAGGAGTAAGGGGAAGGCAGAAAGCACAACCATACCAAGGCCCTCTGACAATGTTTATATCAGACAACACAAACTAAGACGAAAAGGACCAGAGGCAGCTGTGGTCTCCTATTCCTGTAGTTCCAGCATTTAGGAGGCTGAGGTGGAGGATCGCAACAAATCTGAGGTCAGTTTGGACTACATGAGAAGACCCTCAGAAAAGAAAAACAAATTAGGGACTGGAGAGATGGCTCGGAGTTGTTAAAAGCACTGGCTGCTCTTCCAGAGGACTGAAGTTCAATTCCCAGCATCCACATGGCAGCTAACAACTGTCTGTAACAAGTTCCAGTGGATCTATTCCCTCACACTGACCTACATGCAGGCCAAACACCAATGCACATGAAATAAAAATAAATTATTAAAAAAAGAAAAAACAAATCTAAAACAATAAAGATCAGAGATAAATGGAACAATTCATCAGAAAGTTTAAAATATACGATGCAAAAATTGACAAAATAGGTGAAAGGTACCTACCATGCATGAGTCCCTCAGTTTGAATCCCAGCACCCTATACACAACACACACACACACACACACACACACACTCACTCACTCACTCAGACAAAACAAAAATTTAAACATCTAAAACTGAAACTACATTACCCCTACTAATTAAAAGTTTGATAGATATTTTCTTCCAAATTAAAGCATAGTTACCATTTAGCATGGAAATACCCATTCATATAAGAAAGATTAAATCTTTCTTACTAACACATAAGATGAAAATGTTCTTGCCCTCGTCTGTTAAGCATGAGTCTCTTTAAGCCATCCTCACTTCACTGATGATTAAGAGATATAAACTGTAGCCTAGAGCCAGGATAAATAATGCAACTCATCATGCACTGGCATATTTCAGAGTGAAAGAGAGACATAGGTATATAGGTCAAAAGGCATACACTGGATTTCTTCAAAGAGATAAGAATGCCTAATCAGCCAGGTGTCTTGGTGCACAGGCAGGTGGATAACTGTGAGTTCAAGGCCAGCCTGGTCTACATAGAGTTCCCAGCCAGCCAGGGCTACATAGAAAGACCCCGTCTAAGGAGAAAAAAAAAACAACAGCCTAATCACTCTACTTTTAAGCTCAAAATCATGTCAGTCTATAATTGTTTCACTTTATTACCGTTTTCTTGAAAAATATTTGAACTGACATTTCCTAAAGGAAATCTCTCTATCTATAGCTAAGAGGCTCCTTCAAGTCAGCTGAGCTTTGGAATGTCCTTTTCCCACAAAAGTATAAAGCTAAGAATTTGGGATTTCATTGAAATAAGGGGTTTAAGTCTGCAACTGACTGAGATTCATCATTGAAGTGCCAGGATTCAGCATTTAAATTAGGTTTCAGCTCAAACAACACAGAAATCTCCACTTGTGGTTGTGGGGATCTAACGCTCTCCTTGCGGCCTCTGCAGGAACCAGGTACACACATGGTGTACACACAGCATAGCCCAACACCCATACACATAAAAACAGCTTTAAATCATCACACCAATAGTTCAGAAGTCAGAATAACTTTAGCCTTACACATAGTTATTAATTTTCTATTCTAACTAGTACTCAGAAAAATAATCAATATGAAAGAAAATATAGATTTTAAAAAACTATAAAATGTGGGCCAGGAATGTTGCTCAGTGGTAGAGAGCTTGCCTAGCATGCATGAAGTGCTGGTTTAATTCCCAGCATCCAGTATCTGGCCACGAAGACCAATGGCTGTAATCCCAGAACTTGCAAGGTTGATGGATCAGAAACTGAAGGTCATCTTTGGCTACATAGTAAGTTCCAATCTAGCCAAGGATAAATAAAACTCTTTTTTTTTTTTTTTTAAAAAAGGCAGGCGGTAGTGGCGCACGCCTTTAGTCCCAGCACTCAGGAGGCAGAGGCAGGCGGAGCTCTCTGTCTGAGGCCAGCCTGGGCTACAAAGCAAGTTCCAGGACAGCTAAAGCTGTTACAAAGAGACACCCTGTCTCAAAAAACAAAACAAAACAACAACAAAAATCACAAATGGTAGAAAGTATATAGAGAAAGTTCTAAAGCAAACCTATAAGGAAAAAAAATTGAGAAATTGGAAAGAAAACTATAAAGAATTATGAAAGAGAAAAAGGATGCCCATATACATATAAGAGCCCACAGAATGAAATTTTTGTCTTTACATAGATATTGTCAATTATTCCAATTTATAAACCAAAAATATACAGGAGTGGTTAGTGAGACAAACACACATGGACCAAAAATCAAGGATTAGCTATTGTTTGAAGAGGACATTAGGTTTTTTTAATTATTAAATTCAATGTATTCATCAGAACATATACTCAACCAGCAGCTTTAACTGAACATGATTAAAAAATAATACAGGCAGAAAATGATTTCTTCAGCAAATTAATTTTAAGTAAAGAAAATAAAGCAACCTTTTCCTGGAACAAATAGCCCAGTGCCTCCTGCTCTCTTACATCAAAATTTATCTAAAATGAACAGAAAAGAAAAGAAGAAAACAAAAAGATCCAGTATCATTCAATGTGTTAAGACCAGTCGAATTACTAAATAAAAGTTACATACAATTTTAAATATTAGCATGTTCAAATAATTTTTGTGTTAACAGTAGTCAAAATTAAATATGGCCAGCACTTTGTCTATCAACCGAAAATAATACTTTCCTAGTTTTAATGTTAGATTGGCTTGTATTAATCTAATATTCCCAAGGGGAAAAATGAGATCCCTGAGAAATGAAGTGACTTTGCTCGGAATGCAGAAGTTACCAGCTTAGCACGCATGAGCACCGAGGTCCACCTGCAGTGCTAGCAGAGGGGAAACTGTCAATCACAAGCTGCACAATGACAGAAGCCACGCCTCTTCTTCATGCAGTTTACCTCTATGTTCTCACTACGGAAACCGCTAATAATACACAATACCCAAAGACAGCATGTTCTCCCCACATGTACAAGTCAATCTGAATGTCAACAGTGATTACCAGGGATGGAGAAGGGAAACAGGAAAGGGATGGAGTGGAGGGAGGCTGAGGTCAAGAAGTACTGAAACACAATCTGGCCAGGCATGATTACCCATGCTGGTAGAGTCAGCCATTCAGAGGTAGAGATAGGAAGATCAGGAGCTCTGTCAGCCTTGGCTACACATGACAAGACCGAGGGTAGCTTGGGCTATAGACCTTAAGTCAGATAAATAAATCTGAAGCATTAGATCCAGGAAGTATGGGAAAGAAATCTCTTAAGTTAAAAAGATATGGCTGGCCCATGCCTGCAATCCCAACAGTGAGAGGTTAAGGCAGGAGGACTGAGGAAGTTCAAGGCTAGCCTTGGTTACATGGCGAGTTTCAGGCTAGCCTCAATGATACAGTAAGACCTTGTCCTATAAAATATAAAAACCTAAATCCATAACATACTGAATTGTTTTAAAATATAAACAACATTTAAATGCAAGACACAATATGTTAGAACTGTCACAGAAACCAGTATAGACCAAAGATTTATATATAGTATTAATATACAAAACACTCCCAACACTTATCACACATGTGTACCCCTAGCTACTACAATGTACAATTCAAACATCTGAAAGTATTGGGGATTTCCATAGACTGATATAGAAGGTGTAAGACAGTTGTGAGAACAGTTGAGTTACCTTGTCCAAAGCAAACCTAGTCTCTCCGACGGAAGATAAGGACAGTGTGTGGGATCCAACCAGGGCAAAGCTGCTGGTGCGCACAGCACCAAGGCCTCCCGGACTGGCCATCACTGCAGAGAAACGAGCCACATTTAGTCCCGCGGCTTCCTAAGTCTGAGGAGGAGTGGCCCAGAGGCTCAGTTTCAATGCCCAGTCCTCAGCTGACCATCATTTGGGAAGAACTGGGAGGTGTGGCCTTGCTGGAATAGCCTTACTGTGTCCTCTCACTGGGGGAGATGTGTCACTAGGGGTGGGCTCTGAGGTGTCAAAATCCATGCCAAACCTAGTCTCAATCTCTCTCAACCCCACCCCTCATCCCTCTCACCTCCCCCCCCCCCCCCCACACACACACCGGCTGCATGTGGATCAGAATGTAAAGCTCTCAGATAATGGACTCATGCTCTGAAACTGTAAGCAAGTCCCCAATTAAATGCTGTCTTTTCTAAGAGTTGCTTTGGTCATGGTGTCTCTTCATAGCAAGATAACAGTGACTAAGACACTAACTAATAAGTAATGACTTCTCACCATCCACATGAATGAAGTCACACTGGCAGAGAGACTCTGCCTCATTTTCCTTTTCATTCTGTCTCTTTTGTTTGTCTTTTGAGACAGAGATGTATCATCCCTTTGGCCAGGCAGGCCTGGAACTACAAGACAGCCCAGAATGGCCACGAAAGTACAACAACCGTCTTGCTTCTGCTCTTCAAGTATTGATGTCACTCACAAGTATGAGGCTCCATGCCTAGTGTCCTCCAGTTTTACTTTAGTGTGTGCACGTGTATGTGCACTCTTGTAAGATCAAGAGAAACAATTTGGTGAGTCAGTTCTTTCCTGCCATGTTGTGGCACACAAGATCAAACTCAGATGTTAAGGCCTACATACAAGAATCTACCTGCTCAGTCATATCACTGTCTCACCTCTAAATATGGAGGAAAATCAAAGATCAAGCTTTCCTAATGAAAGGAAATTATTTAAAAGATTATCTTTAACTGAAATACAGGCACTTCTTAACATTTGGCAAAGTTATGTTTTTAATGACAGAGAACTTAAAATTTCCCCCATAAATAAAGCAATTTCCCTGCAAAAAACATAGAAAAGTTGGCAAGCTCAGTAGGTGAAGGCATTTGCTAAGCCCAACCTAATGGCCCAAGGTCAATCCCTGGAATCCATATGGTGTAAGAGAACTCACTGCGACCCACACATGTGCATGCACTAAATAAAATGACAAGAAATATGGAAAAGATTCCCTTACTATTGGTACTCCTGAGTGACCTTAGTCACATAGATCTGTGTAACTCCACAGATTAGAGAACAACTACATTGTTGGAGGCAAATGAGGCCAGTGCCATTACAATCCACTTTGAAAACCTGAGCCTAAATTCATGTTAAAGGACTTTCCTTGATCACTAGCACCCCATTCCCAGTGACCTAGAGAGATGCTTTGGTGACATGTTATAATGCTAGTTGAAATCAGTATAGTTAAAGGAAGCAAACTCTATGGAGTCGATAATAAAAACAGAAGCAGAGCTGAAGAATAACACTGCTTGCTGGAACTACTAAGTGACTAGCACTGACAGTTACACTCTAAAAAAACCCTAATCATTAGCTTATACTGTTGCCCGACAAGGCTACAATCAGACTACATGCTATTCTGACTGGTAATATATATTGTTTTAAAAAGTCCATGAAGGAAATGTTTTCCTGTGGCTTGAGGGATGGCTTAGCAGTTAAGAATGCTTGGTGCTCTTGCAGAGGACCAGAGATCAGTTTCCAGCACTTATTAAGGGTAGCTCACAACTGCCTCTAACTCTAGCTCCAGGAAATCCAACACCCTCTTCTGGCCTCCATAGGCATCTGCACTGCACGCGCGCGCGCGCACATACACACACACCCCATAAAAATAATTTTTAAAACTCTTAAAAAAGAAAATATTTTCCCAAAGCAAATCAAGAAGGCACGTGTATGTACGTGTGTATGGTTGAATATTTTTATAAAGGTATGCAACTACTATATTTAATTATTCTACAGCTTCAAATAGTTTAGATCCACTCACCTGAGGAATGAAGGTTGCTTTTCTAACAAAAAAAAAAAAAGGTGAAGAAGATACATTAATTATCTATTATTTAGTATGCAAATTTAAATGTTAAGTACAAATTTTAACACAAGGACTACAGTTGAGAAAACATGTTTCTTACATTAAGTATCAATAATTAACATATCTTTATTTATTTTGAGAAAGTTTTACTATGTAGTCCAGACTAGACTGTAGCTTGTAATCCCCCTGCTTCTGCCTTTCAAGTACTGGGATCCATTAGTGCATTTTAAAGACTTCTACAGTATTAAAAGTTGGTAGTCAATTGCAGTTTTATTAAAAATGCAGATCTATCAAGAGGATTTGATTTTTAGAAAAATTCTACTTACTGAAGTTATAGATGTGAGGAGTCTCTTTGGAGTAATAGCCTAGAAAAAGAGAGAGCTTAGCATATTTTCTATTAAATATTGCATTTCAGGGCTTAAAACTAATGTTCTTACATAGAAAATAACTGTTAAATATAAACAAATCATACTTAATTCCTTTATCAAGACTTTGCAAACTATCCTCTTTGAAAAGTAGAGCCAAAATACTTTTTTTTTTTTTTAAGTTTTCTCGCTTCTACCCAACAAAAAAGTGAGAATAAAGAAAGATTTAAAAACTGAGGACAGAAAAAAACTTCTATTTTTTCTTTTTTGGTTTTTTGAGACAAGGTTTCTCTGTGTAGTCCTGGCTGTCCTGGAACTCACTCTGTAGAATAAGCTGGCCTAGAACCCAGAGATCCACCTGCCTCTGCCTCCCCGGTGCTGGGATTAAACTCATGTGCCACCACCACCCAGACAGAAAAAAATTCTAATGATTTAGGAAGCAAACAAAAGAGCAAAGATTAGAAAGGTGGAAACCAAGACCCTAGTAATCATATTTCTCAACAAGCTCAATGTTTAAGCAATATTCAGAAAATAAGATATTTTGCATGTATTAGAAGGGCCCGAATTACACTTATCATGATCACCTATATACATTTACACTCGACAGGCATACCTACTTAATGCAGTCAATAGAAATGTGGGGCCTATTTAAAAAAAAACAACAAACCTTAAATCACTGAAACTTGTAATTAAAACTAAAATGATGGTGGTGGTTTGAATGGGAATGGCCCTCATATATTTGAATGCTTGGTCACTAATCACAGGTGTGGCCTTGTTAAGGTAGGTGTGCCCTTGTTAGAGGAAGTATGTCACTATGGGTGGGCTTTGAGGTTTCAGAAGCTCAAGCCAGATCTAGTGTCTGTCTCTTCCTGCTGTCCGCTGATCCAGATGAAGAACTCTCAGCTACTTCTCTGGCACGCGTCTGCCTGCCATGTTTCCCCCATGACAATAATTCCATTCAGTCTAAACCTCTGAACGGAAGGCAGCCCCAGTGAGACGCTTTCCTTACAGGCGTGCCTGGTCAGCGTCTCTTACTGACTGAGAGGACACTCTCCAGCAGTGCTCTCACTAGGTTGCAGCTCTCACCTTGGACTTGGAGGCTTTCTTCTTCTTATCAAGGCCTGATGAATCTTTCTTTTGTACCTATACACAAATCCAAGATATAATTGCCTTAAAAATCTAGTATTAAGTAAATATATTATTGTTCATTTCAGAAAGCTTTTTAACTGCTTACCAAGCTGTAAACTTCAACATTTATTTCAAAGTCATTGGAAACATCATTCCTGAAAAAAGAGTATTAAATAAAACTGTAATAAAAAATCTAAAGTTATGCCTTTAAAAATAATGTACAAACACTGTTATAACCCTCAAAGACTCCATTGTATTTTTAATAAATACAATAAACTATCAAGAATAATAAAAAATGGTAAAACCACATTTTTTCTCAAGACATACTTCAGTAATATTTGTGTTATAAAAACCAGGGTCTTTAGTAATACTACAGGAAGGCAGTGAGGAACAGTGCTTATCACCAAGCCTGCGGGACCACTGCAGCTCTAGCCCAAGGCTCCCACAGCTGTCCTCTTGCCTCCAAAGCTACACAAAGAAACCCCGTCTCAAAAGAAAAAAAAAAACCAACCAAAAACCAAAAAACCACAAAACCCCAAAAAAACCAAAAAACAGATAAAAAATAAAATAAAATATGTATTTGATACTAATTATCTTTTTTGTTGGTAATAAAATATTGTTACAGCTGGCAGGGTGGTGCATGCCTTTAATTCCAGCACTTGGAAGACAGACACAGGCAGATCTCTGAGTCTGAGGTCAGCCTGGTCTACAGAACAAGTTCTATGATAGTCAGGGCTACAAGGAGAAACCCTGTCTCCAACCCCCCCCAAATATATATATATATATAATTATGTGATTTAAAGCACCTATAAAAATAATAGTGCAAAATACTGACGCACTATATATACTGCATATCTATAGTCAAAAAGTATCAACGCAGAAAATAAATCAGAAAGGAGCTAAACGGAACAACTGAAAACTGGATTATCTGTTCATATTTACAGAATAAACAGGGGCCCAGAAGATGGCTCAGAAACTAAAGGGGCTTGCTGCCCAAGCCTAGCAACCTAAGTTTAACACCCAGAGTTCACATAAAGGCAGGAGAGAACAGATTCTACAGTTATCCTGTAACTTCTACACATGAGCTGTTGAACACAAACCCATGCACACATCATGCAAGTATGCACACACACTGATAATCATAAAGAAATTAATGTTTAAAGATTTAATTATTTTTATACGTGTGGGTGTCTTGCCTCCATGCATGTCTGTGTACCACATGTATGCAGTGGCTGCAGAAGCTAGAAGAGAGCATTGGATCCTCGGGAACTAGAGCTACAGATTGGTGTGAGCTCCCATGAGCTCAGATAGTGGGAACTGAACCAAGGCCTTTGGAAGAATAGCCTGTGCTCTTAACCACTGAGCCATCTCTCCAGCACCTCATAAATAAATAGGAGGAGGAGGAGGAGAAGAAGGAAGAAGAAGGAGGAAGAGGAGAAGGAGAAGAAGAAGAAGAAAGAAGAAGGAGGAAAAGAAGATCTGGGGGAGGTTTTCACAAGGGCCTGTCTCTTCCTGAGGAGACTGAGAGCTGATGGTTCCGAGGGTGGGGTGGGAGAGGACATAGGACATTTCTTTGAGTGGGCCAATCACTGATAAGTTGCCCACACTACTATAAGTAACCTCTTACCCATGGTCCTGTAAGCAATCCTAATTTAAACTCATTAGCTCACCAAATAATAATAACTTTAATAAGTAAGACAGACCAATTAAGGGGATGGGTTGCAGCGTATTGGTAGAGCACTTGCCTAGCACATAAGGCTCTAGGCTTGATTTCCAGTACTACCAGAAAGAAAAAAAATAAAAGGACTGAAAGTAGATGGGAAATTGTCAAGGAGAACAAAGGGATCAGCAGGAGTGAAATGGGAGAGAGGGTAGTGAGGAGTTAATATAACCAAAAATATATTATATGCAGGTATGAAAATGTCATGCCATTATGTATAAGCTATGCCAATAAAACGATTACATTAATCATAATAAGTTAGTAAACAAATGTAAATACATTTTAAATACTATCAAAGTTTGGGACCAGGTGGTGGCGGCACACACCTTTAATCCCAGAACTTGGGAGGCAGAGGCAGGTAAAATCTCTTTGAGTTTGAGGCCAGCCGGGTCTATAGAGCAAGTTCCAGGACAGCTAGGGCTACACACAGAAACCCTGTCTCGAAAACCTGGGGGGGATTAAAGTTTGAGATGTAGTTTGCTGATAGAACGCATGTTTAGCATGCACAAAGCTGAGTTCCATCCCACAAACTATACCAGATAAAACAAGATATAAACATCACTCAAATGCCAAGACTGTCTTAACTCTATTAAAAGAAAAACATGTCTGAACCATGAGATGCTCAATTTACTTACAGAGTAAATGTAGTGGTAAATGTCAGAGCGTCACCACTAAGAGAGTTTGAAGTACTTGCTAATGGTGTGGCGACCATATGCTCAGCTCCAGCTTTTAGCATAATTAGGTAATAGTAATTTGATGCATCTGTAATAAGTAAACACATTGCAAAATTAGCAAAAGAACAATAAACTCAGCTAGACAGCATCCTGGAAGGCCAGAAGTCATATTGCACCTGACCCACATAAAATTTTTATTTGCAATTTCTAAGATCAAATTTCCCCAAGCGAAAAGCTAAGAAAGACACAACCTGATACCTCCAGTCTGGGAATAAGCATCAAGTCTCCTAATTACATAAAGCAAAAGAGCTTCATTCTACAATCCTCACTCTCTGCCATAATCCGTTAGGAATTAGAAGGTTAGCACACACCTCTGAAGGGAAATTATGATTTCTTATTTCAAAACTGAGATTTAAAAAGTATTAAAGTTACTCGGGGATAATACCTAATAAAAACATGAACTATTTATTCACTATTTATCACTAAGTAACGATATCTCAAAATAAATACTAAATTACCAAGTTTTCTACATTATACTAAAATCAGGCAACAGGAAAAATTATAACCTAAATTAGCTCATTTCTACAATAATACTCCGACTTTTTCTTCATTTGTTTGTTGGAAATAGGAATTTCTTCTGTAACCCGGACTGGCTTTGAATTGGAGATAATACACTTACTTTTGCAATCTTCCAAACTGCTGGGAGTATAAATACAAGCTACCACATGCAGTGAATGTTTAAAAGCAAAGTCCTAGTCCCGGAGACTGACTCAGGGACTCACATTTAAGGCAAAGCTCTATCACAGACTACAACCACACCTCCCTTTTAAACACGTTTTGAGAACCACAGGTGTCACTAAATTGTCCGATTGGCCTTGAGCTTCTGACCACCACAGCTTCCCAAGCAGCTGGGACTATAAGCTTGTGCCCCCAGCTCCCACTGAAGGCTCAACCATGTAAAGGTCTCCATTCTTACTTTCCCCAAACCCCAAATTCACTTCTCAACGTTTTTTTAAGACTTTTTTTTTTTTTGGTGTTTCAAGACAGGGTTTCTCTGTGTAGCTTTGTGCCTTTCCTGGAACTCGCTTTGTAGACCAGGCTGGCCTCAAATTCACAGAGATCCGACTGCCTCTGCAACCCAAGTGCTGGGATTAAAGGCGTGCGCCACCACCGCTGCCGGGCCCTTTCTAAGACTTCTTTACCCCTAGAGATAAAGTGTTTTGGTTTTTTAAAGATTTATTTATTTATTATGTATATAGTGTTCTGCCTGCAAGTATGCCTGCACACCAGAAGAGGGCACCAGATCTCATTACAGATGGTTGTGAGCCACCACGTGGTTGCTAGGAATTGAACTCAGAACCTCTGGAACAGCAGCCAGTGCTCTTAATCTCTGAACCATCTCTCCAGTCCTGAGATAAAGTTTTAATTAAATAAAAATGCAAAAGAATCTTAAAATAATTCTTTTCGTGACAGGGTTTCTCTGTGAAACAGCCCTGGCTGTCCTGTAACTAGCTCTGTAGACCAGGCTGGCCTTGAACTCACAGAGATCCGCCTGCCTCTGCCTCCTGAGCGCTGGGATTAAAGGCGAGTGCTGCACCACCCAGACTTAAAATAATCCTATTCAACACTTCACTCACGATTTTCCTAGAAATTACCCTGCTGTTTTCAGATCCTGATGCCATAGTCCTCTTTACCCATTTGACTCCCATATGATTTAGCAGATTAGACAATTTTAAGAGGTCACTGTGGTTATCCAATCCAGAAAAGAAAAGGAAATAAAACTTCAATAGAGGTATACTCACTGAGTAATTACTACTCACACAACCAATAATTCAAAATTTCCAGAAGGAACTTCTAAAATGGGGTGAATTTTAACAAGAATAAAGTAAAATAAATTCTTTTAAGTGACCTGGCACATAACAAAACTAATTAATGAAAGGCAAACGGTATGTCCTGTCAAGATAACGTAGGAAAATGTTTTCTGTCATAATTCTGTTTAGCCTTACTTTGAGATGGAGTGATGTACATACTTGCATGGGTTGGTAAACCTGTTATATAAGATAAACTTCCCCCAATTGTTCAATTACGAGGAACTGCCTTACAATATGAGGAATGACATTGTAGGATGGAAGCTTTGCATCATAATGCATACTCTACTCTTATCTTTCTCACACAATCCAGTCCAGGTGGCCCTCACAATTCTCCATGTAATCCAGCCTCATACCTGGTTTCTGAGCGGTGCTGCAGACAAAGTCTGCTTTCAGAGGCAAGCAGATTTCTGACAAAGTGACAGACCCTCTGGATGGAACAAATTCACTCTGAGACAGGACACCAGCCTTATTCCTCCTCTGAGGCCCTTCGTTCTTCAGCTTATTCAGCTCATCAATCAGAAGTGCTCTCTTCTCAGCTATGTGAAAACATGCAAGTAATATTCCAAACGTTAAACTGTAACTGGTCCTGACTGACAAATCCTGAAAGCACACTGCAGAGACAGCTGAACAAAAGAGCACAGACACAATCAGTGACTGTCTCTTTGATGGAACTGCTGGGTAAAACGTCCTCGCTAGTGTGAACCCAACTCCTTATAATGCTTCAGCTTTTAATCAGGTTTTTATGACGTGTCACCTTCCCCACTCAACACGCTCCATTGTCACATGAGATGAGACACACAGGAGTGTGTACACGCATGTTCAGGCCGGATGCTGTGTCCCAGGTGCAGCACACATACTTGCAATCAGAAGAAGTCTCTTGGCTTCAGCTTCTTCCAGGGACCCTTTCCCATGGTCTTCATCAACACAGCAGTTCAGAGCCTGGCTGGCCTGATAGATCACGGTCTGCTGCAAATTTATGTCATTATTGAGCTCCTAGGGAAACCACAGGAAGGATTAATTAGTTAATCACCATTACCACTTGATTTAAACTTTAATTCACCTGACTGCATAAAATCCAAGTGTTAGTTTTATTGCACAAGTTTTTAGATTGCAGATTCTTCAACTGTGGCTTAACTGTGAGCATCACAGAAAATGTAACACAGTAAAAAGTTCTGAATACAAACAATCAAACGTTAACTCAAAGTCAAATGATGTGATGAATCCAAGATGCTCTGGCAGCACTTATCCATGCACACCTTCACTGTGGCCATACTTCTGAAAACAGAATGCATATCACACCATGTTAACACCAATGCATACAACCTTCAATATGACACTACTGTACTGAAGGAGGCATGGAAGACTTTGTGCTCAGATATTCACCAGGGGAACCTGGAGTGTTAAGTACACAGGGTTATCCCATCATGGGAAGGGATGAAAAACCTCCTTATTCGCCCAGAAGGCTGGAGCAGACACTCTTTCTAGCATGGTGACCTTTGTGCTATCTGTTGTGGCTAGAGACCTTTCCCGGCATTGGGCCCTCCCCAGACTCTTTTTTTTTTTTTAAAGATTTATTTATTTATTTATTATGTATACAGTGTTCTGTCCGCATGTCTTTCTGCACACCAGAAGAGGGCGCCAGATCTCATTACAGGTGGTTGTGAGCCACCATGTGGTTGCTAGGAATTGAACTCAGGACCTTTGGAAGAACAGCCAGTGCCCTTAACCGCTGAGCCATCTCTCCAGCCCCCTCCCCATACTCTTATTGTAAATTTGTTTTTCTCAGTCAATCTATAGAACCTTGCTGTGGGATGGTCTGTATGTCAAGTGTGTTGCTGATTGGTCAATAAATAAATCACTGATTGGCCAGTGGCCAGGCAGGAAGTATAGGCGGGACAAGGAGGAGAATAAAGTTGGGAAGTGGAAGGCTAACAGAGAGACACTGCCAGCCGCCATGATGACAAACAGCATGTGAAGATGCCGGTAAGCCACGAGCCATGTGGCAAGGTATAGATTTATAGAAATGGATTAATTTAAGCTGTAAGAACAGTTAGCAAGAAGCCTGCCACGGCCATACAGTTTGTAAGCAATATAAGTCTCTGTGTTTACTTGGTCGGGTCTGAGCGCCTGTGGGACTGGCGGGTGAGAGAGATTTGTCCTGACTGTGGGCCAGGCAGGAAAACTCTAGCTACAGAACCTACTTTTATGGACTTTACAAATAGTTTTGATGTAGTCACATCTGATCTAATTTAGCTTACTTTGTCATCAAGGAGATTTATGTATGCTTTGTTGTGCATGCAAGCTTGAGTTAATCATGACCAGCATAAATTTTCACTGAATTATGCTATGCTTAAATATGTCTAAAATAAACCATTCAGTGTCAGATTCCAGAAGTTAGAACCAACACTGGCTACTGAGTCCTGATGAACCAATATGCCTTCTTGCCTCCCACAGCTCATAACTGCTGGCTGAGAAGGTCACACTATATGGTATGAAATGAGCTTTTATTATATATTCAGAGTTTTCTGCTCCTATAAAACATACCAGTCAGGTGGGTGTGGTGGCCCACGCCTTTAATACCAGCACTCAGGAGACAGAGGCAGGCGAATCTCTCCGAGTTTGAGGTTCAAGGCCAGCCTAGTCTACAAAGAAAGCTCCAGGACAGCCAGAGCTACACAGAGAAACCGTGTCTTGAAAAACCACAAAACAAAACAAAACAAACACAACCAAACAAAAGACCCATAACAGTCCTTTACTCTCAATACTCAGGAGGTTGAAACAGGCAGATCTCTGAGTTTGAGGACAACCTGGTCTACACAGCAAGCTCCAGGCCAGCTAAGGTTACATCAGGAGGCCCTATCTCAAAATAATAAATGTAGCATAATGGCCTAACTAATTAGAACAAACTTTTAATATTTTCCTACCACTGTTCTCTAGTAGTTAGTAATTACTTTAAATTATAGTGCATATTCGGCTTTAAAAATTGCTGCTGTGCTGACTTGGGCTCCATATCGTCCGTCATTCAGTGAGGGCTGGGGAAACGATCAGTTAGCCAAGTGTCTGCTGCACAAGCATGGGACCTGAGTCCCGATCCCCAGCACCCATACAGAAAGTGCCACCAAACGAACATAACTGTCTTCTTTAGCACAAACCCCCTGAGGACCACAGTATGTTTCACGCTTTACCGCTATCCAACTAATAGTTATAATTATGTTTTGGGGAGCAGAGAGGTGCTGGGGATTGAACCCAGGGCCTCACACATTCTGGGCATTACTATACTCCAGAGCTTCACATTCTACTCCAAAGTGATGACTTCACAGCAATTTTCTAAAGAGCGTGTTCCTGAAGTTAAACTGAATTCAGGAGTAACTTAGCTCCCATGAATCAGATCCCACTCCAGTCACTCGGGGTTGAGATTAGTAGGGCCACAAGCTCACAATCTAGTTCAAGAAAGTCCAAATTCCCTTCCCATGCCAGAGCATACCTGCATTTTTTGTTTGATATTAACTTGACAAGAATAGACATTATTCTTTTCACCCAATTTTGAAGCAACATCTTCTTTTCGAACAATCACTTGCTTTATGGAAGGGCGCTCTGTTTCTTTGAATCTTTGAGACCTATAAGCATCAATGCTTCGGGGAAAAAAAGAGTTACTGTTAGAAATCCACTGAATAATAATAGTCTTTATCGAACATGTCAACAGAAACCTAATCTCACACTTAAGCATCAGCACATTTCCCCAAAATGGAAATGTCATCCGGGTGGAAGGAAAACTGATAGGAGTTATTCCAGGCTGGGGCTGCCCATCAGTGGCAGACTTCCTGCTTAGCACACCTGAGGTCCTGAGTTCAATCCCCAGGCCACAAACAGTTACCCCAGGCTTATAAGGATCTGTAAACAAGAGCTAAGCTGTTGTGAACACTCCTCATGTCAACTTAAGCCAACATGGTGGAGGGGCTCTTCCCCACACCCCTTACCTATAGAGAAGGTCACGGTCATCAGAGCTGATACTGTCCCCAGACTCAGCTCGAGGAACACGGGGTCTCTGGAACTTTCCTGGTTTGGGGCTTGCAGCACCTGGGCTTGTGTCTCTCAACTCCAATTTGGGTGAAGAAATTACATTCTACAGAAAAGTAAACAAGTGAGATGGTAGACTTTCAACTGTGTTTTTATGTGTTTTCTTTTTATTTCAGAGAAGTAGTCTTCATTACGTAGTCCAGGCTAGCCTCCTCCAACTCTTGATCTTCTTGCCACAACCTCCTGAAACCTGGGGTTACAGACATGTATCACCACACCCAGGATTTACATACTAGATGCTATGGATGTACAACACTGATCCTAAATGATACTTCATTTAATTCTGAGAAAGTAATTCTTTTCTGCTATTAGGAAATACATATCCAACGCATCTACTGACTTATAATAAAGTAACAAAATAGATGAAGCCTCTACAAAGTAAATGGATAAAAAACACAAATCAGCAAACCTATGAGATGCACTGCCTGTACCAGTCCATGGAAGAGGCCAGTTCTTCACAAGGCTGGACCAGACATCACAGAACCAAACTTCAAAAGCTGAACTAGGGGCTGCAGAGATGACTTGGTGGTTTAAGAGCGCCATTGGCTGATTTTCTAGAGGACCAGGGTTCAATTCCCAGCACACACATGGTGGCCACAACCATCTCTAAAATACAGTCCCAGAGGATCAATTCTTTCTGTGGCTTCTACAGGCACTGACACACATGATGCACTGCACACACATAGTGCACTGCACACCCATGATGACGCACTGCACACACATGGCGCACTGCACACCCATGATGACGCACTGCACACCCATGGTGCACTGCACACACATGGCGCACTGCACACCCATGATGACGCACTGCACACCTATGATGACGCACTGCACACCCATGGTGCACTGCACACCCATGGTGCACTGCACACACATGATGATGCACTGTACCCACATGATGATGCACTGCACACACATGGTGCACTGCACACACATGATGCACTGCATACACATGATGCATAGATAAGCACTCAGGCAAAACACCACACATAAAATAAAAATGAAGGGGGGAAAGTTCTTTACATTTGAACTAACGGAGCCATGAAGTTTTGCCTCATGCCCCACATGAGCCTGACTTCTAGTCAGCCAACTATCACTTACTCAGCATCTCAACAACACTTTTTATAGGAAAAATGCTTTCACAACAGCAGGATCCAGAAAATGCTTTCCAAAAGTTTGTCGACTCCTAAAGCACAGACTTTACTACATGATTAAGCACACTTACTTCTCATAGGCAAAAATGTGCTAATTATAATAGTTTCTATACTGACTGATAAAGATGTACTTGAGTCTGTTAGAAAGACTTAAAATTCATGGTCAGAAACTGCAACTCTCCTTACAGCAGCCTAACACACAAGGCCAGCTTGGGCTACATGAGACCCTGTCTCAAAAAAAAAAAAAAAAAAAAAAAAAAAAAAAAATCAAAAATCAAAAAACAAAACAAAACCAATCAACAAATCCTTTTAAATAAAAGTACTCCTAACTGAGCTCATCTCCAGAGCTACAGTTAACTAAAGTTAGGGTGATGGCAATTAACAGAGGTTAGGTCTCAGTGAATGCTACTTGTATTTCTGGTCCTAAATATAATTAGGACTGAAAGATTACATCAGTTCCAGAATGTAGGTACTGTTGCTGACCTTGTTTGACAGCTGGAAGAACCACATCATAGAGAATCTACAACAATTACAAAACACTACAACCAGAATTTGAGCCCAAATGTCATGCTTGCTAAAATATGTTAATGTTACCTGAGGTCACAAGAAATTACTAGAGTTTACTAGAGGTACTAAGAGAATTCTATCAGGTTCACACAACCCCACTGTCTAGAGGGTAAAAGTCATTTACCAAAAGTGGAGGAGGTGTGCAGTATCCTCAGTTTATTTTGCTAGGAGCCTGTGTACATATAGTCTTTCTTACCTCTAGACTTACCACCCCGACCGTCTGGGCTAACGGAGCAAGTAAAGACATTGAAGAGATGTTCAGTGCATCCTCCTGTTCCTCGATGTTCTCCGCTCCCACTTGCTCCATCTCCTCCTGGTTCTTTTCCATATCCAGTTCCCCTTCCTCTAGGACGTCACTAAAGATGTCATTAATGACTTTGGAGCTATTGATAGCATCATCGTCCACACTCATCTCAACTTCCCGTACTACTTCTGAAAAACATTTCAATGGGTAGACACTAAGAACCAGTGTGGCAGAGGAGGCTGCGTTTTCATGCTTACTATAATAACAGAGAGTTACCCTAAAAAAAAATCACTTCCTAACAACAGAGAGAGAGGACAACTTCTAATACATATAAAATCAAGATAAAGCTGGACTCTCATATTTAAAAATATTTTAAAAGTTCCAAAATATTTTCTAAGATAGAAAGACTAGACTTACAAAAAAACTAAACCTAATGCTTTGGATTTAAGTGAGAGTATTAAGCAGGAACACAAGATTCTGACTTTCAAAAAGTACCAAGGGCTAGAGAGATGGTTTGGTGTTAGAGTCTACTTTTCTAGAGGACCCGAGTTCAGTTCTTAGCACCCACAATGGGCTGCTCACAATGACCTGTGACTCCAGCTCAGGGCATACAACACTTTCTTTTGGCCTCTGAAGGCACCTACAGTCATATGAACACACTCCCACAAAGACACACACACATTATTTAAAAATAATAAATCTCAACGGGTGATCATGGCACACGCCTTTAGTCCCAGGAAGCAGAGGCAGGCAAACCTCTGTGAGTTCGAGGCCACCTGGTCTACAGAGCGAGTTCCAGGACAGCCAGGCTACACAGAGAAACCCTGTCCTAGAAAAAATAAATAAATTAAAATAATAATAAATCTCAACAACCACTTTCAAATGAGTCTCTTCTATTGTTAGGAGCTGTCCCTCCACACAGGAGTCAGCACAGGAAAATATTAACGCCATCTAGGGTAATTTCAGAGTAACTTAACAGTGACTGTTAGCAGCACAGTCATTGTAAAATGACAGGTCATTTAAAAACAGAGCTTCTTCTTACATTATTGTATTATTGCTTATAATGGATCCAGAGCTAGCGAGAAATAAAGACTAGAAACCAACCAGTCTCCTGCTCAGCCTTCGGGTCTGACAAGACTTTTAAAGACTTTTCCTCTTCTAAAAACAATGTTATTTTCAAAGGGCTGGACTTTGTCATTTTGCTTTCAGTGGAACCTAAAAAAGTTTGAGAAAAAACAAATTAATGTGTGTATGTGTGAACGCATGAGCACGTGTGCCAGAAACAACCTGAAAATGTAAAATTAGGGAGTCATAAATCTTTATTAGCAAGGATGCCTGTACTTTTAAGTATTCCAATCTATACATGGAGACCTGCTACATCCGTTTCCTCTTCCTGTTTTTCTCTCCACCAAGAGGAAAAAGGACAGCAATAATACAAGTTATTCTTTATTCAGACTGCTCCATCATTAGTTTTTAACTTAAAAAAGGTGTCAACGAAATCACTCAAAAACTAGGTCCAGAAGGGATTTCCTCAGACAACAGACGGAAAGCCGGAGAGCGCTCCTCTAAGACTGGAAACATTAGGCATGCCTGCTCTCCCTACTGGACTTAATATACGGTTTAAGATCTTATCAAAAGCAACTAAACAAACAATAAAAAGATATAAAAAAAATCCAAATTAGAACAGAATTGCCACTATTTCTGCTCACAGATGGCATCATCTAATGCTGACAACCCTGAAGACAATACCAAAAAATAAGACAGCACATGACCTATTAGAACTAATACAGTTAGTAAGTTCAGCAGAGTTAAATAAAGGAGATAATATCAACACCTAAGTGTGGTGGCTCACACCTGAAATCCTAAAACTTGTGTGACTATAGCAGAATTGCAGCATATTCAAGGATAGCAAGGCCTACAGAGCACAACACTGTCTGAAAGATACAACAATACATACATACAAACACATCTACACAAGCAGTGGACAAGCTGAAAAGAATTCCTAGTGATAATCTCTCCGGCAGTCAGGAAGTCTGAGCATTCATCACCACTGCATAAATCCAGGTGTACAGTACATGCACTTGGGAAGTGGGGGCAGGAGGGTCTCAAGTTCAAGGGGATCCTGGACGACAGCTTGGGCTTGGTAAGAAAGTAACAAAAAGAAGAAAATACTTAAGAATAAACTCAACCAAAGACTCAAACAATCTGTATCTTAAAAACAACAAAATTCTGATAAAAAGAAGTAAAGACACAAACAGGGAAAGATTTGGTAAAATCCCAGTAGGACCATATAATCTGTACACTCAATGTGATCTCTATCAAAATCTTCCTTTCCAGGAGCAGAAAGGCATCTTCAAATTTATATAGAATTTAAGGACTCCCTGAATATTCAGATCATGTCCGGAAGATTCATATTTCCTGTTAAAACTTATTACACAGCTGGGCTCAACTCTGCGGTACTTTCTCTGCTGTGTGGGAGACCCTGGGTTTCAGCAACACATAAAAGGAAGAAAAATCAGAAAGCTAAAGTCATCAATACAGAGCGGTACTGGCGTACAGACGAAGACCAGCGCAGTGTAACAGAGCCCAGAGTAAACCTTCACATATTTGGTCAAGAATATTCAACAAGGGAAGAAGATGAGTCACAAGCAAGAGAAGGGTCGGCTGGATAAATGATACTAGTGAACTTGGGTATCCATGCGCAGAGCATCGAAGCTGGACTCTTACATAGTGAAAAATTAGCTAAGATTAAAGATTTAAGCCGGGCAGCAGTGACACGCGCCTTTAATCTCAGCCCTCAGGAGGCAGAGGCAGGAGGATCTCTGTGAGTTCAAGTCCAGCCTGGTCTACAGAGCGAGTTCCAACACAGCCAGAACTGTTTCACAGAGAAACCCTGTCTTGAAAAACAAAAACAAAATAGATTAAAGACTTAAATATAAGATTTAAACGATAAACCATATTTTAAAAAATAGACAGGGGAAAGAGTTCATAATGTTGAATTTTTCAGTAATTTCTTATTTAAATTATTTAAAACAGAAGAGGCAACACAGTGACAGACTGAAAGGCAACCTATGAAACAAGGTAAGACATTTATACATCATGTGCATGATGAGGAGGTTACTATGTAGAATCTATAGAGAACTACTACAGCTCAACCAGAAGAATCAGATGGCTGAAAAAGGGAGGAAGCAGGCCTGCGGGATGCGGGGTGCGGGGTGCGGGGTGCGGGGTGGGGGGGGAGCTCAGTCAGCAGTGAAGTGCCTGCCATATAAGCACGGGCATGGGGGCCTGAGTTTAATCCCAGAACTCACACAGAAGTCAGGCATGGCAGTGTTCACTTTTAATCCAGCACCAGGGAGCTGGAGACAGGCAGATCCCCGGGCTTATGATCAGCCGCCCTCACCTAATCAGTGAACGACAGGTCCCAGGGACTGTTTCAAAAACAGGTGGACAACCCCCAAGGAAAAATACCCAAAACCAATGTACGCACGCACGCACGCACGCACGCACACTGGAACAGGAATGGTGGACATGCTTGTAATCACAGTGCCTGGGTTGGGGGGGCAGTGGTAAAAGGATTAGAAGTTTGAAGTAGACTCCAGGCCGTCCTAGCCTACCTAGCAGGATCCCGACTTTTTTCCCCCCAGAAAAAAACAGGTGTATGTGTGTGGGATGGGTGGGTACAGAAGTCCGTCCTTTCTTCATAGAAGAAACACAAACGACCACAAAGAACATGAAAAATGTCCACCTTCCCTATTGAGAAGCACAAATAACACAATGGGATTTCACCTTACACTTATTAAGATAGTTACTACCCAAATAAGAACATCATTATCAAAAAACACTCCAAACAGAAAATAGCAGTGCTGGTAAAAGGCAGGAAAATTAGAATTTTGTGAACTGTTGGTGAGAACATAAAATAGTGCGATTGCTCCGAACTATGATGTGATAACTCCACTTCCGGGCACTTCTCCAAAGACTGCACAGGGGCATGGGCAACTGGGTACGGACAGGAGAAGGCACTCCAAGTGCACACACTGAGAATGGGTAGTGCTGTACACGTGGTGGGACAGTGCTCAGCACTGATGACAAATGCTACAGGGGCCTCCTCCACCCAGGGGTCTCACTCTCCACAGCTTCAGTTATCTGTTGTCAACCAAAAACAGAAACCCAGAAATAGACACCAAGCTGTGACAATTCTGGTCCGTGTGGAAACACTGGAGGAAAACCTCGGTTCTCAGTTCAGGTGCTAGTCACACATTTACGCTTCACCCACACAGCCTTGGACCGCATCCCTAAAGATAAAAACGGACCGCTGTGTATTTCTTCTCACGAGGTATTTAAAGAAGACAAATTCACAGCAGCCGTGTAAAACGGGAGGGTAAAGGAACGAGGAGAATTCTGTTTAACTAGTACACTTTCAGTTCTGCAGCTGACACAGTTCTGGAGGTCGATGACAGATGAACAGAGTTGACACGACTGAAATGGACTGAAATGGGCACCTAGCAGCCATCAGGTGGGTAGAACTGGTTTCATCATTGAAGCTCAGGCTCAGTTTAGACTCAGCAATCCTGCTCTCTTGGCCCATGGAGGACTGGGATTGCAGACATGGGCTGGTAGAGTTTAGGTGAGTCTTTTTATCACACATTATTAAAATAAAATTTTGCCAGGCATGGTGGTTCATGCCTCTAATCCCAGCACTCAGAAGGCAGAGGCAGGCCAATCTCTGAGTTTGTGGCCAGCCTGGGCTACAGAGTTCCAGGACAGCAGGAGCTACATAGTGAAACCCTGTCAAAAGAAAGGAAGTAAGGAAAGAAGGAAGGAAAACAAAGAAAGCAAGAGAGGAAAATGAAAATTTGAAAGTGTTTGTGATGAACCAGGTGTGGTGACTCACACTCATAACTCCAACACTTAGCACACTGAGGCAGGAGGATTAGAAGTTCTAGAATAGTGAGTTACAGTAAGAGCCTATCTCCAAAAAGGAAGGGGAAGGGGAAGGAAGGAAGAAGAGACAGGGGGAGGGAGGGGAGAGAGGGCAGGGAGAGCTCTGCTTCCTAGCTCCTTTGTCACAATGGACTGTCCTTCTCTAGGGCTGTGGCCAGAACAAAGCCCCTCTCTCTCTGGGGTGGGAACACCACACACACAGCCAAGAGGGGGCTCTCACTCTGGGAAGAACTCACACGCCTGCGCACTGCACAGCAGCCAGCTCTGTCCTGTGAGCCATCCTGGCCCTATGCAGCGGCACACATCATCTGCAGCGGCACACATCATCTGCAGCGGCACACATCATCTGCAGCGGCACACAGCCACAGCTGAGCCGCATGGACCACTGACCTGAAGGCTCTGCACTAGAAATCTTCACTGCAGTTTGACTTTCCGCCACTTTATCTGTTACAGAACTCGATGGGGTGTTTGAAACAGTTTGATGTTTCTTGAGGGGAGTATTCTGACAGTGAATTTCCTGCAAAAAGCAAACGGAGAGGTAAATTCTATTTCTCAGAATTATAAATCTTAACTAGTTTATTAAATGAAATAGGACTATTATTAAATAACATTCTATATGCTTTTTGAGAATAAAAAATAATATGCTATTAAAGGGCCCAGGCCAGTATTGGTAATTTTCAGTGTGTAGGATCCCCATTATGTAAACTATTTAAAAGACTAGAAAGCAGGAGACTTCACACCAGAGCGGAAGTGAAGGCAACACAGAGAGCATCCCGTCACTGCTCTCTGCCCTTGCCTGTACAACATCCAGGCAGTTCTGACATGAAGAGTCTACTACATTGTCATTTACTCAAAGTACAAAACTCAAAAACAACACAAGAAGGATAAAACCAGATCCAATAATGAGGAAAAACAAGAGAAAAAACGTGCACTGTTGCACATGTCTACAAGACTTTCTGACGGACAGGCCTGGTTACTGCTCAGCTCATTGCTAACCTGCAGTGCACTCAAATAGTGCACACAGTTTATGACGGCCGTATGGTGATATTTTATTTGTATTAAAATGTTATTTGTATGTTAATAAATAAAGTTGCCCGGGTGTCAGAGCTATTAGCAAGCCATAGGAAAGCAGGGCAGTGGTAGCGTACGCTTGTAATTCCAGCACTTGGTAGGCAGAGCTGGGTAAGTCTCTGTGTGTTCAGGGATACAGCCATTATTGGATACACATGCCTTTAATCTTAATACCAATCATGGAAAACCTGGAGGCCCATACAGACAGGCTGTGAGGAGGCGGTCATGTGGTTGGGTTTACAACCAATGAGAAGGCAAGACAGGAACTCTATATAAAGACTTTAACACAGGGGTAGCTCTGGTTCGGAGAGGTAGGACCACCGCAGGAGGAAGGGTAAGGTTTTAGCTCTTAGCTCTGACCTCTTGGCTTTCTTCTTTGCATTGGTTCTGTGTTTATTATTTAATAAGAAGGTTGGATACATCTACACGGCCGGGCATGCTGGCACACACCCATAATCCCAGCACCCTGGGGGCAGATGCAAAAAAGACACCGCAGTTCGAGGCTGGCCTGGTCTACACAGTGAGCTCTAGAGCAGGCTGTGCTACACAGCAAGGCATGTCTCAAAAGCCAAGAGCACACTTCATGATTGCAGAGCTCCTGGAAACCAGCAGGGTAAGATAACAGCAGCTAACTAACGCACACAGCGCTAGGATGCGGCCTGTCACACCCTCCAGCCCTGTAGACTAGAACCCACTATTTCTGTTTTGTCAAGGAGAAAACAGGCCCAGGAGCTACAGCACTACACACAGGAAGGAAGGAAGTTACATGGTTAGTAACTGGCCCCCAGGATCCAAACCCTCATTCAGTTCCAGGTTAGAATGTCTCTCAAACGAGAAGCTGCGGACGTATAAAACATACAGTAAACTCTTTTTTTTTTTTCAAGACAGGTTTCCTTGGGTAGTTTTGGTGCCTGTCCTGGATCTGGCTCTGTAGACCAGGCTGGCCTTGAACTCACAGAGATCCTCCTGGCTCTGCCTCTCAAGTGCTGGGATTAAAGGTGTGCGTCACTGCTGCTGCCGCCTGGCTATAGTAAACTTTTGAATGTTGTATACAGGCTGTTTTTAGGTGGGAAAGAAGTTTGAGGAAGAAAAATTGATGTACATTGCAGAAAACAAGTACCTTGTTGCAGGAAACAGGAAAGTGGGTTTCAAAGTATCGTAGAGAGAAAAAACGTTTGTGCTATGCTATCCTGGCGTCTCGGCCTGTTTACTCACATTTGCTAAGTGAGTAAATGACTGTGCCGAGAATGGAAAACAACTGCCTGTTCTTATCATTACTGAAAACATAAACAGAGCAAAGCCCTGCCCCCAGCTTTTTCCTTTGGCAGTGGTCACCACCCACAAATACACATTGCACATGAAAGGCGAGGCTGTGGGGCCAGAGTTCTGCTTAGAAGCCTGATTTCATGTTTACCTGCTGGGAAAGAGAAATGACATTACTAACTTACATTGTTATTGGAAAGATTCAATGATACTTTAAAAGTGCCCACCAGAGCCCTGGCCCATTGCAGACACTCAATACATAGACACTCTTCTAATGACCTAGTACCCCCATTTTCTTCTCCCCACTAGTCTTACCTGAAGACTGTTATTGCATGGTAAACAAACACCCTCCACTTTTTAGCACTAATACAAACCCAGTTCTCTTACAAATATGGAAACTAATCCATAAACATCTGAAACAGATTTCTCACCTGAGTCCCGACAACATGAGAATAGCACCTCTGCAGTGTCTTATTAATCCTCTTTTAAAGCTCTTACTCCAAGACTTGGACCAGGATTTAGTGCACTCTGTAGCCACAGTCCCCACCAGCAACAACCTGGAACTTCTTAGCATCAGTAACAGAGAGTCTTTTCTGAACTCCAAGTACTTCTCTAGTTCAAGACCTGCATCACCAAGCTGGCACCAAGGCTATCCAAGCAACACCTTGGCCTCTCAGCTGCATAAACATGTCAACTCTAAAACCCTTCACCATCACTCCAACTTGGCCTCCCCTGAAACTGGTTTGTGCTTGTATACACCCCATCCTAACTGTGTCTCCAATCCCCACAACTCTCTCTCTCTCTTGTTCTTGCCTCGTGGAGACCTCTGGCCATCTGATGCTCTTCTTTCTTGATTCTACCCTATTTTCTTACCCCTCCACCCAGGGTGGACCTCAAAACTCCTCACTGTAACCTCTTCCTCACCAATGAACGTGTGCATTTCACCAAACATCCAGACCTCTTGTTTTGGAAAACCCTAACCCAAGACTGATCAAAATTCTTCAAATCAGCACCTAGACTCTTTGGTTAGACCTGTGCAGTTTGGTTCTAGTACACATGTATGGTCTTACAGCCTGTGGTGGTTGGAATGAGAATGTCCCCCACAGGTTCATGTATTTGAACACACGGCTCCCCAGCTGAAGGTGCTATTTGGGGAGGTTTTGAAACCTTTAGGATTTGGAGCCTTGCTGGAGGAAGTATGTCACTGGGAATAGGCTTTGATGGTTTATAGCCTTACCCTACTTTCTGTTGTTTCCTGTTTGTAGATAAAAGTGTGGCCAGCCAGCTCCTGCCTCCTTCCACGCTTCCGTGACTGTTGCTATGACTTCCCACCACAATCGACTCTGTCCTCTGGAACCCTGTCAGTACAAACCCTTGCTTCCTTGAGTTGCGTTCTGTTATGGTATTTGTCACAGCAACAGAAACTAACTAATACACAGCCACCCGAATCCCAACTCTACCATCTTGATCCCTTCTGATTCTGAGTTAGCCTCTCTTCCTTCAAGTAGTTCACCTGCCATGTTCCACTTCCTAGACCTACACTTACCTTAGTCAAAGGCAGAAGTGAGCACCCTCCCTTTCCTAGCAATGAACACAACAGCCACAAACAGACAGACACGCAGACCTGCCAGCAGCGCCTCAGACATCAGGGCTGGCAGTTTCCACTTTGCTTTTCTCAAATGGTTCCCTTCCCTCAGCCTACAACTATCAGCTCCTTTTCCTTCACCTTAACTTATTAGCTAACTCCTTTCCATCAGTGCTAAAATATTCTTAAGTCACAGAAAAAACAATTGAAACACACTTTGCTTTTTTATACCCTCCAGGCACCACCTCCTTCCTCTCCCCTAACCCTTTACACAAAAAGGTCTAACAACAGCCTACACTGGCTCTGTCTCAACCTGCCATCCCTCCTCATCCCTGCAGTCCTCACTTGCCTCATCACAGCAAACTTCAGACTTGAAACCTTAGCTGACCCATTCCAACCCTTGGTGGACGAAACCACCCCTTCCTTCTCAGAAAGGTTCATCTCCCTGGATTTTCACATGCATTTTTCACCCATGTTTTTGGCTACTCCTTTTGTGGTAAACAAATGGGTTTCTTGGGGAAGGAAACCTCTTAACTCCCTGTTAGCATTGTGTTCATAAGTTTGGTCATATGCATAAGTGCTGCTATCTCACAAGCTTCCAAGGAATTATTTAGTAGAAAATAATTTAAAGACTCCTGTCTGCAGGGACACAGGAGAAAACCGTAAGAATCTAGTACTGTGGTAGCCAAATGATGGTGGTCTTCAAACAGAAAAGTCACTGGCAATGCCAAACGCTGCTAAGAAGTCTAGTTAAATGTCTGAAACCAATCAATGAAAATCACGGGTGAACTGGTAAAGAAAAGGAGAGGGAAGAGAAAAGAAAATGGGGACAGCCAAGTGGTGGTGGTGCACGCCTTTAATCCCAGCACTCAGGAGGCAGAGGCAGGCAGATCTCTGTGAGTTCGAGGCCAGCCTGGACTACCAAGTGAGTTCCAGGAAATGCGCAAAGCTACACAGAGAAACCCTGTCTCGAAAAACCAAAAAAAAAAAAAAAAAAAGAAAAAGAAAAAGAAAATGGGGACAAAAAAAAAAAAAAGAAATACACCCATAGTAGTGACTATCACACTGGCTGACCGGCAGACAGACTGGCAATAGATTTAGGAAATATTAACTGGATGTATGTATCCAAGTGGGACTGTTTGTATAAAGAGGGATATTGGAGACGAATTAGAATAAAGCAACAATGAGGAGGCATGTGGGAACTGAAAAGGCTGCAGACACTGAGAGCATCATAGGTGGGATGCTGGGTAGTTCTGTCAACTTGACACAAGTCAGGGTCATCTTGGAAGACTGGCTGACACTGATGTGAAAGTGTCTACCCCACTGTGGATGGTGCTGTCCCTGGGCAGATGCCCCTGAGTTATATAAGAAAACAGGCTGAGCAAGTCCTGAAGAGCAAGCCAGTAAGTAGCCTTCCTCCATGTTTTCTGCTTTAGTTCCTGTTTCCAATCTCTGCCCTGACTTTCCTTCATAACAGACTATAAGATGTAAACTCAAATAAACCCTTTCCTCCCCAAGTTGTTTTTGGTCAGGGCTTTATCAAGATAGAGAAACAAACAGAACAGCACATTTAGAAAAGCTAAAGTCACCAATGAGAAACGTAGATTCTAAGCAGTATTTAAAAACCAGCATCTAAGTAGAGCACTGAGAATCTGGAAGTGGATGATAAGAACTGACTGTAAGGTCATTAGTGAGAGAGCTGCGGAGTAGATGGAAATGGAGACTACCACAAGAAAAGAGTTACTTACACGTAAGCACTGGAGAATGGAAAGCGCAATGTCACTGGGAAAGGAAGGTATAAGAGTTATTTTACAAAGCTGGGCATGGTGACTCACACCTATAATCCAAGAATTTGGGAGGCTGGAACAAGAGGATTATTTAGAGTTTGTAGAAGTCTAGGCTAGGTTGAGAGACTGTCCTCTCAAAACCAAACAATGGAAAACCAGTACTACTTTAGTACATCAGTGACTTACATTCCCTGCTCACATTACCTGTTGGGTTTCTAGCTGTTTGCTTCCTGACTTTTCATCCTTCTCTGCACTCCATAAATTGCCCTTGTCAAATCGACCACGAAGACCCGCTAGCTCTTTTTCACGTTCCTAAAGCCATGAGACAAGGCAGGATTTTACACAAGAACCAACAGCATTTAAGAATATCCAAACACTAGTAAAACGTTTCTCAGAAGCTAGCTACAGTAGCACACAGCTGTAACCCCAGCACTTGGGGGTGGAGGCAGTAGGTCAGTCCAAGATCATCCTCAGCTAGAGAGCTAGCTTGAGATCAGCTTGCACTCCATAAGACCTTATCAAAAGAAAGATAAAAAATAACTTTTCTTGTCAGGCGGTGGCAGGTGGGAGGCAGAAGCAGGTAGAACTCTGTGAGTTCGAGGCCAGCTTGATCTACTGAGCAAGATCCAGGACAGCCACAGCTACACAAAGAAGCCCTGTCTCAACAATGACAACAACAAAGAAACTTTTCTTGTATTCAGTTATAAAATATAAAGATTCACAACACACGTGGAATATGATGAATTATAAATAATATGATACATTATTTCATTGCTCAATTTGCAGTAGGAAGTACAGAGAACCAAAGTGCTGTTTATCAAAGCCAGGGCTAGTGATCAAACCTGTAATGTCAGCACATGGGAAGCTGATGTGGAACTGCTGAGAACATAGGGCTAGCCTGGGCTGCTTAGTGAGTTCCAAGGCAGCCTAGGCTACAGAATGAGATATGTCTTGAACTAGAACATGTCCTCAAAAAGATTCTCATTAGCTCAGTCAAAAAGACTCACATTGGGCCTGGAGAGATGGCTCAGTGAGTAGGAGCACTGGCTGCTTTTGCAGAGGCCCCAGGTTCAGTTCTAAGAACCCAAAGGAGGTTTGCAACCATGTGGAACTCCAGTTCCAGGGGGATGTGATGCCCTCTTCTGGCCTCTGCAGGCACTGCACGGATGTGGTGCGCACACACACATGTAGGCAAAACACCCTCACACTTAAAATAAATACATCTTTTTTTAGAAAGAGACACATTTATTTCTTATGTTCCATGCTGAGGTCATGTAATAAGTATTAAATGCAGAAAATCTTACCTGTTTGAGCTGCTGTGCTAAATGGGTAGTAGATGAACATGTGTTTTGCTTGAATAATCTTTCCTGGATGGCCTTGGTATTTGGAGTGATATTGGGGGTTCTATGAGATGCTCTATAAGCTGGGCTTTCTTTGCTGTGTTCTTGACAACGCTCTCCAAAGCGTTCCAGAAAAGGCTTAATTCCTCTTCCTCCTATAAAAATATAGTTTTGGAATCTATTCAAAATAGCAATTATCATTTCCAAGTGAAAAATTCTAAAACCATTAGTTACCAAATGCTTTGCTTCTAGGAACAGTCATTCACAAAAAGAAATTAAAATTATTCAAAGAATCTATTAGAAGCATGCTCTAATAGATTTTGTTTTTATTATTTTAAATTATGTGTATGTGTGTGTGTCTATGGGTGGGTGCCCATTAGTACAGGTCCCATCATAGGCCAGGTGTCAATCCCCCTGGAGGTGGAGTTGCAGGCAGTTTTGAGCTGCCTGACATGGGTGCTGAGACTAGAACTCGGGTCCTCTGGAAGAGCAGCACATATCCTCTGAACTGATGAGTCATCTCCTCAGCCCCTATGTCCTAAAATGTGTAGGAGTTAGTTAACTAAAAAAAAAGGGGGGGGGGGGGACTAGCAAGCTGGTTTAGCAGGTCAAAGTGCCTGCCAAAGTCCTGAGACCCTGCACTGATCCCCAGAACCTTTAAATTCGCCAGACTTAGTGGCTCCCATCTGTAATCCCAGGCTCAGTACTCTGTGGTCAAATGGGAGGAGGAGAAATGGCTGGAGACTCAACAGCACAGCAGAGAAATAACAAGATAGAAAGCAACTCCAGACAGCTGTCCTCTGACATCATGCAGGCCACAGATTCAAGTATGCACATCCATTATTTCTTTCTTTTTACAAATTATGAGTTATGCAACTTAAAAGAGTACTATTTGAAACAGTATAAAGTACTTTAGTAGTAGGGCAAAAGGGATATATATGTATACACACACACTCCTATATATATTAAAGTCGAGTTAATGTATCAGAGGTTTGCTACTCGTTCCTGTGAGGAGAGGACAGGAAGCACTTAGGGTTCTGTGGCCCTCTGGTGCCTCTCACAACTGTTCAATTCTGCAGTAAAGACTGAAAGGAGCCACAGGAAAATATATAAACAAACAGATGTGGCTATTATAATAATAAACTCTATTTAAGAGGAAAAGAAAAAAAACAGTAGAATTCAACATATGGCCATAGTTTGAGGACTACATGTCATTTATTAGCATTTCAGGTATATATCAAACTAGAGTTCAATACAAAGAAACACCTAAATTGAGTATCTCTGAGGTGCTGGTAATGTAATCCTAATTATATCCACTAATAAAGAATAGCCGGGCGGTGGTGGCGCACGCCTTTAATCCCAGCACTCGGGAGGCAGAGACAGGCGGATCTCTGTGAGTTCAAGGCCAGCCTGGGCTACCAAGTGAGTTCCAGGAAAGGCGCAAAGCTACACAGAGAAACCCTGTCTCGAAAAACCAAAAAAAAAAAAAAAAAAAGAATAATACAAATAATGCTTCATGCCTAAGTCTTAAGTCTTTAGAAAATAAGGAAAAAAAAAAAAGAGCCAGTCTGTGGGCTGGAGAGATGGCTCAGCAGTTAAGAGCACTTGTTGCTCTTGTAGAAGAGCTGGGTTCAATTCACAGCGCCCACATGGTGACACACAACCATCCATAGTTTCAGTTCCTGGGACCTGAAGCCCTTTTACCTTGTTGGACATCAAGCCCACAATTTAGGCAAAATAACATACACATAGCATGAAACAAATAAATCTTTAGAAAAAATTTTTTTAAAGGGCCAAGCTGGGCAGAGTGGTGCACACCTTTAATCCCAGCAGTCAGGAGGCAGAGGCAGGCAGATCTGTGGGTTTGAGGCCAGCCAGGACTGTTACACAGGGAAACCTTGTCTCTAACAAAACAAAACAAAAACCCAGTCTGACTGCAAAGGATCTTGGGATTCTTCCTTTCCTGGTCCTTTGTCACCGATGTCACCACCTCCTGCAGCTGCAGGAGTTCCAGGTTACATCCTGAGCCTGGGCATGCTTGCCAAACGCTCTAGCCCTGAGCTCCAGCTCCACTTCCAATCCTCATTTCAATGCATCTAGAAATTACCTGTGGCTTTCCGCTTACCCTGCTCCTGTCTCCACTTAGAACACGAACTATACTCTCCAGAAAGGCTGTTTTCAGGCTGGGGAGTGGGCAGTTGGCGGAGTACACGCTCAAAGGGCACAAAGGCCCTGTGTTTAATCCCCGGCACTGCAAAAGCTGGGTATGGTGGTGCATGTCTGTAATCCCAAGTCTGGGAAACTGAGGTAAGAAGATCAAAAGTCCAAAGTCATCCTTAGCTACCGAGTAAGCTCAGGGGAAGCCTGGGGCACATAAGTTCCTGTGTCAAAAAAGGAGATAGAAAGAAAGAAAGGAAGAAAGGAAGGAAGGAAGAAAGGAAGGAAGGAAGAAAGGAAGAAAGGAAGAAAGGAAGAAAGAAAGAAAGAAAGAAAGAAAGAAAGAAAGAAAGAAAGAAAGAAAGAAAGAAAAGCCGGGGAGTGGACAGGAGATGGCTTAGTGGGTAAGAAGAGCATTTGCCCTGCAAGCATGAGGGCCTGAATTTGAACCCTCAGCACCTATGTGAAAAGAAAAACAAAAACAAGCACTGCTGCATGGGCTTGTAAGCCTAGCCTTGGGAGGCAGAGCTATGTGGCTGCCGGGCACCCACTAGCTAGCTAGCCTAGCCAGATGGAGTTTCCAGTTGGATGGGAGAGCCTGTCTCAAGAGAGGAAGACATACACCCTCCTCTCACTTCCACGTGTGCGTGCAGGCGTTCCCACCTACTCAGATGTGTGCATCACACACACGAAGTTAAACACAGCTCATGGTAAAGTCTGTCACCATATCTTTATGCTAACTTTTTCAGTCTGGTGTTTCTCAGTCAATAATATGTGGAGCATACCAAAAGATACGTCACAAGATAAACAGCATTTTATGGAATATCAGCTTACTACTATAATAAATACAAACCTTTATTAATATATACAAAGTATACATATATGTAAATATAATGGAAGTGCATTATACTCTATATGCACATCAGCCTCTCTCTCCTGTTGGGGGTGGGGCAGAGACAAGTGGATCCTAGGAGCTCAATTCCCTGCTCCCCCTACCCCCCCAACCCCCCACCCCGTAGCCAAGGTAAGATTAGATTTACTGTAGTCAGAGTAAAGACTGGAAAGCGGTGTTCTACATCCTTAGTTACAAGATTGGTTTCCACTATTCCCCTAAAATGTAGGTTCCAACTGGATGTGCTTTACTACATCAAAAAACAGGAAAAAATTAGGTAGACTGATCATCCTGTTTAAACTGCTGAAACATAACAGATTAAATACTTTTACCAGCAAAGGGCTAGTGTTCACTAATGAATATGCTTTCAGAGTTCAATAAGAAAGCTGGGCCTAAGGGACACAAAGCTTTTTTCAATTCAATTCAGTGGTTAGGAAGTAAAGATAGAGATCAATATGTCAAGTTCATCCTTGACGACATAGCAACTCCAGACCCAGCTGGAATATATAAGATACTATCTCAAAAAAAAAAAACAAACCCAAAAAAACAAAATAACCCAAAAACAAAAAAGAAAGGAAGGAAAGAAAAGAAAGGAAAAAGAAAGAAGAAAAATCTCTTCTAGCTCTACAGTTCACAAAAGGATATTTAAATGCTGGGAACCAGGCATGATGATAGACATGTAATCCTAGACCCTGGAGACTATGGGGATCTCAAGATGGAGACCAGCCTGGGCTACTGTAAGTCCCATGCAGCCTGACACACACATGAAGACCTTGACTGAAAAACTGAGAAACAGTAAGTGACCATTAAATACAATACTGAAAATGAGCATACGTAACCTGGTGTTGCAGGTTTGTCTCTGGGTTGGGACTGCAGACAAACTTCCCTGTCTGTTTCCTCGTTGGCCTCAACTGCCTGGGGTAAAGCTGGTTTCTCCCTCGGCTTCAATGCCTCTGTTTTCAGAGGACTAGTAGTTTTGTGAAGTAGCTCAGCATTTTGTGCCTCACTGTTCTTAGTACTTGGGATGAGCGTAGCAGATTTCACGGGGGAAGATGTCACTTTCTGAAACAGGGCAGACAACACACGGGGTAAACAGTAATTCTCATCACAGTGGAGCTGCCACAAAACAACTCAAGTTCCACTTCCTTGGTGCCGTTACACAAAACCTAACAAAAATATTGTTCTTTTGCTCTATTATATCACACTAACTTGAAAGTTTTTTTTAAATCAACTTATAAAAATGCTGTTATTTAAATTAATAGGCAATTTATTCTCACAATATATTGACAGCTACGTAGTTATCAGGGGTAGGATCACTCCCAATTTTATATAAAAAAAAAATTCTCAAACTATTGTGTAGTACTTTTATTAAACTTTTAAATTGTTATATCACATTATTTTTATATGTACTTTTAACTAAGTTAATATCAATTCAATAAGATATGAATTACGTATTCCTGACTCAAAGTACTTGGTATAGAAGTGTTTCAGACTTTGGATTTCTTTTAAAATATTTACAACGAGGTATCATTGGGATGGGACACTAGCTTAAACATATGATTCAATTCTGTTACATATATATACACATTAGACACTTCCTGGAAGCAATTTTATATCATCTTAAAAAAAATAATTTCAGCCTAGCAGTGGTGTCTCGTGCCTTTAATCCCAGCACTTGGGAGGCAGAAGCAGGAGGATCTCTGAGTTCAAGGCCAGCATGGTCTACAGGGAGAGTTCTAGAATAGCCAAGGCTACATAGAGAAACCCTGTCTCAAAAAACCAAAAAAGAAAAAAAAATTTCTTCATGCAAGAAGGGTGGGGATACAGCTCAGTGATACAGTATTTGCTTAGCATTCAGGAAGCCTTAGGTTCAATTCCCAGTACCACAAATAATAAAATGCATGAAGCAAAGTTTCTTGTGGAATTTTCCACTTGTAGTATCACAAGTGAGCACTCAGAAGGCTTCATTCAAATTTTTTAATCATTTCGGATTTTGAACTTTTGAGATTAGGAATGTTCAAATACCGTAAGTATCATAGATTTGAAAGTTGATTATAAAAAATAACTTGGAGTCAGCCAGGAATTATGCAAAGTATTTTATGCATATCAGCTTATCTTTCTAACAGCCTTCTTCCCTGATTTGATATAAGGAAAAATAATCCTTTACAATACTAAGTAACTTGTACAAAGTCACATTTTTCACTGTTTCAGAGCTGGGACTGAAGGTAGGTCTAAAATCCAAAATCTGTCTACACTGACAGGCCTTCAACAATGCCATCAACGTCCTTTTTCCTGTTGTTTTTAAACTACTGAGGTGACATTACATGTATAAAGCCAAAGTTTCAAACACGTCAAAGGGTCGTACAGAGAAAGTGGTACCACTGACATTCCTGTTTGTCAGTGTGCCTTCCTTGGAGACAACTACAAGTGCTCACTTGTGATACTACAAGTGGAAAAAAGTTTACACTCTCCAGAAATATTCAACATAAATTAATATAATTTCAGTCATAAAATGTTAATTTATCTTAGATAATTACCAAATTTATAGTTCTCACTTTTTATAAAACATTCTAAAAACACATAAATATGCTGCACATATACTATAGAGTACATAGCCACATTACCATTTACAACAAAAGTTTCAAAAGACCGAAATGGTATTGACTCACCACAGAGCTGGACGCTGAGGCTTTAAGCAATGGTCCCTCGGCAGCACTTGAAGATGGGGCTTTACTGACAGAGGCCTTGCCATCCCTTTGGGAACAGCATGTAGCTTCCTGCTGAACACTGCCACTATTGATGCTAGCAGATGCTCCACTTGCAGAGGAAGGTTTGGATAAACAAGTGGTACCAGGCTGTTCTTGTACACTATTTTGCTTTGCAGATGAGTGGCTTACATCATCTTCCCAGGAGCAAATCGTTGCAGCAAGGTTGGCCAGACGGCCCCTTCTCCCAACTGGGGTAGCTGAGGCATTTGAAAGGGGTGGCTTGGAAGGTGAAGCAGCCTTTTCCTCAGATGGCACTGGTGATAAGTGTGAGCTTTCTGGTACATCATCTGAAAATGTTTTCAGAAAAATCAAAATCCATATTCAACAGTTATTCTTATGTATAATCACATGATCACTTCATACAGAATTCTTTAACGAGATTAATTGCATTCATGAAATATTACATTACTTAAATGTGACTTTTTCAAGTCAAATGATAAAATCTTAATCCAAATTGAAACACTCTTAACATGTACTTTTACAGGTTTGTTTTCTTTGACAGATTACAGCTGCTATATGTCACCATTACTGGGGTGATAGCTAAGGATAAAGTGCCTGTAACTCAAGCATGGGGAGCTGATTCTGAATTCTAACAACCCATGTAAAGCTGGACATAATAGTGAGAACACATGTGCTGAGGCACACATATAGATCATACACAAACAAGTGAAATTTTTACAATTTAAAGATGATATTGTATATTTCACAGTTAATTCATGGAGTTACAATACTGAACAATCTGTATCCTACTGAAACCATTTGTTTTAAAAGATGAAGTCGACCGATGACGCCGACAACGCCGACGACGACGTACAACCTAAAGCTCTAGGATAATAGGGCCCACATCTACACATCCCAAACAGCAGGCACTCACCACATGTGGTTAGGACACTGAAATGTGGCCAGGGGAACTGAGAAATTGACCCCTATTTGAATTAATTTAAACAAAACAGTTACTTATGGTTAAGTCACTGTTTGGATAGCACAGGGTTGAACAATGCTGTATTTCAAATCTCACCTGATGAAGGATCTAGGCCTGTATGTTCAAAAAGCATGTATATAGGGAAACCAAGGTTTGGGGCACATCATTCTCTACATATACAACCAAGAGAAGAGACCTCCCAACCACCCTCTGCCTAAGCTTCTACCCTGGACTGAAATTTTAATTCCACTCCTCTAAAACCTCAGTAATCTTCTTCCAAAAGATTCCTCCTCCCTATAAACTCTTTCAGCACATAAATACATGCTGAAATAAGTTCATTTTACTTAAAAAATAAGGGCTGTTAAAATGGCTCAGTGGGTACAGGTCAGCAGTTCTCAAGCTGTGGTTCTTGAAAGACCCTTTCAGAGGGGTCACCTAAGACCATCTGCATATCAAATATTTACATTTTGATTCATAACAGTAGCAAAACTACAGTTATGAAGTAGCAATGAAACTAATTTTCTGGTTGGGAGTCACCACAACATGAGGAGCTGTATTAAAGGGCTGCAGCATTAGGAAGGGTGAGAACCACTGTGACAGATGCCTGCTGCCAAGCCTGACCATCTAAGTTCCATTGCCCAGACCCACATGGTGGAGGGAGATAACTGAATCCTGCCAATTGTCCTCTGAACACCACATGAATCTCACACACACACACACACACACACACACACACTTAAATATAATAAAAATAAAGCCTTTAAAATAGATAAAAATAACAAGGGAGAGAGGAGGAAATCTCAAACTTTCTGTTGTCCAATAGTAATCAAAATGTCAGTTAAAAAGCACAGTAACAAGGGGCCGGAGAAACAGCTCAGTGGTTAAGAGTACTTACTGTGCAATTGTAAGGACTGTTAATCAGATCCCAGCACCATATAACAAGTTAGGCAACCTGCACACCCTGAAACTCCAGTTCTCTCTCCGAAAAATACATTGCCCTCTTTCTCTCCTCCACACAGGCACAGATGTGCAGCTGCATGCACATATATACTCAAGTACACACATACATGCACCCACACATACATGTATAAAATTAATCTTCTTTTAAAATTTCGGTGCAGGGGCTGTGGAGATGGCTCAGTGATTAAGAGTACTTGCTGCTCTCCCAGAAAACCTGGGTTCAGTTTCCAGCACCCACACGGCAGCTTTCAACCGTCCCAGGGGATCTGACACCCTTTTCTGGGCTCAACAGGTGTTAGGCATACATGTGGTATGCATAGTTACATGCAGGAAAACTCATAATTTTTTACATTAAAAATGAAATTTATTGCCGGGCGGTGGTGGCGCACGCCTTTAATCCCAGCACTCGGGAGGCAGAGCCAGGCGGATCTCTGTGAGTTCGAGGCCAGCCTGGTCTCCAAAGCGAGTACCAGGAAAGGCGCAAAGCTACACAGAGAAACCCTGTCTCGAAAAACCAAAAAAAAAAAACAACAAAAAAAAAAAACAAAAATGAAATTTATCAATTTATTCAGATTGCTTCATCTTAGTTCTAGCTATGCACCCTAATTAAAGGGTTTTATAATCTAGAGACAAAAGCACACCTTGGGTTCCCCATACTTCTGAGACGCTAATCCAAAACTTTTCCTAGCTACATTTTCTCTGGACCTCAGTTCCTTTTTAAATACAATATGGGTATTTCAGGAAGCCATTTCAAAGATTTTACCTAACAAGTCAGGAGATTAATAAAGCTAGTCATGGCAAAAATAACACTGGTACATAACCATTAACTTGTCATCCTATCTGTTTCCAGAATTGTAGCGTAAGACTATGCTTATTCTTACGGGGTGGGGGAGAGGGAGTATTTTGCTTTGACTTTTTTTTTTTCTCCTACCAAATAGCACTACACACCTTTGTCTCTTTATTTGATAAGTGAACTGAAGACCTAGAATTTCCTGAGCATAGAGCTGAGAGTTAGGACATTTTCACTGCAAACAGCAAGTAATCTGTTATTAGGTGAAGTTTCTGTACTAGTTCAAGAACCTCAATATCTACTTCAGAGAGAATGTTTCACTCTCATTCAATGTTTTTATGGATATACTCCTGGAATACAAATCATCTACAAGCCAAGAATACATATACAGATAAAACAAAAACACTTACCTTTCATGTTACTCCAGGCTGGCCTCAAACTTACAATCCTCCTGCATCAGCCTCCCAGGTACTGGGATTACAAACACGTACCACCACATCCAGGTCCAAGCTGAATCTTGGAAATCCAGGGACCACCCCACCCGTCATTTAATACCTGCTATATCGCTATCCCAATGGCGCCGTTGCTCAGCAAGCTTCTGCATTCGAGTTTTCACTGAGGAGGCAGCAGAGGCTTCTGATCTTGAGCTCAGCCCTCTTCCCATGCTGAGCAGAGATACTGGGGCAGCCACAGAATCACTGACGGCAGCTGGTGCTGGGGGCTCTGCTTGAAGGGGCACAGGCCTTGGAGAACAAGGCTTTGCAGCAGCTGACTCAACAGGTTCTTTATTTTCTAAGTCCAAAACTTCGAGTTCAGCTTTGTCAGAACATCGTTTTTTTGATGGTGATGGCTTTGTACAAGATTTCTCTAGATCCAAAAGAACAACAAAAACCCACACTGAAACTTCTGCAATTTCACAGTCTGAAAAACTAGAGGTAGATGCTTAACAATAACGGATCAAATTTCTCTAATACTTTAGCTACTTTTGTTATAAAAATGCAAAAACCTTTCTTCCATTAACTTTGAAATAAGACAAAAAACTTTTTTAAACCAACATGTCATCTTCTGTTAAAAACCTCAATGAAAACAAATTTAAATATTTTCAAGACATATACATAAGATTTTATATAGTTTTAAGACAATAGGAAATAAACAGCACATATATAAAAATAACCAAGTACTCTAAAGAATTTTAAGGATCTCATGGCTCAGTCACATTATTTTAAGGGAAGAAAAAAAAAAAATCAAGCCTGGAAAAGGAAAGTTGCAGAAAACAGGTTTTCTATTTTGTTTGTTCATTTGTTTGTTTTTTGAAACAACCTTCCATGGACAATAACTAAAGCGAAGCAGAAGGGCACCTCGCTTGAGGCTGGGGAGAGACGTAGGCTCTGTAGGCAACAGAACTATCGTTGCTCTGTACCAAACAAGATCAGTACAAATATTCAGCAACTTATAATTTAAACTTCTATGAACATCTATGAAGTAAGTGAAAAATCCTAAAGGCATCATTCAAGATAAGGTATTTTACTTCTACCCAAGAATCAGTCTCAATGTACCTCTTGAAATGAGTAGGTGTATACGTGCTCTTCTGTGTGTGGCACAGATGTGTGCAGGTGCAGTCAGAGGTTGACATGGGTGTCTTCCTCCATGCACTCTACCTTACCACCTTGAAGCAGGATCTCTCTCTTGAACTCAGAGCTCATCAATTCAGATAGTCTAGATCTCCAGCTTGTCGTGGCAACCTTGTCTCCACCTCCAGTGTCCTTGTCATACCCCATACATGGGTGCTGGGAATTCGAACTCCAGTCCTTACAATTGTGCATTAAGTACTTTATCCACTGAACCATCTCTCCCAGCCCATTCTTGTTTACTAGTTTAAACAAGAATGAAAGGCCAGTGAGATAGCTCAACGAGCAAACATGCTTGCTACACATTCCTGGTAACCTGAGTTTGTTGCCCAGAGCCCACACGAAAGGCGAAAAGAGAAAACCAAGTCTATGGAGTTGGCTTATGACCTCCACACATGCACCGGGGCACACTTGCCCACACATAGAACAATACATTCTTTTAAACAAACAAAAAATTGGGAGATGCCCGCTGGAAAAATGGTTCAGCGGCTAAGAGCACTGTGCTCTTCCTTCCAGAGGACCCAGAACCCACATGGCAGTTAACAACTGTCTACAATGCCAACTCTAGGGGTTTCAGTGCCCTCTTCTGGCCTCATAGGCACTGCACACATGTGCTACACACACACGTGTGCAGGCAAAACATCCATACACATAAAATAAAGATAAGTAAATCACAAAAAGTTTTAAATTTCTGAAGTTAAGAATATGAATTTCATAGATAACCAAGCTCTCTTCCAGCTTCTGGCAGATTTGAGACCTGATCTAACGATTGAAAGGTAACAGCTGCTCTTGCCCCATTGGCTGGTGCATTTGTCTCCCAAAGACTGTTTTTTAATGTGCATAATGAAATGTTTGGGGCTTATGTCTTCCAAATCCAGGCCATTTTTCTTTTTCCCCACCGTCTTTTTTTACCTTCACCCCCTGATAGGGGCTGCTGATTACTTGCTTCTGAAAGTGGCTCTCTGCCTCGCTTAGCATGTAGTGCAGACCTTGCCGCTGCCGTGGGCCTCTCAGCCATTTTTCTCTGAAGATTCTCTCGTCTGGCACGGGTTCGTTCAAGCAACTTCTATATTATACCAGTGTTAAAACACAAGGTTAGCCAAAGGTTGACAAAACCTTAGATGCCTTCTAAACCAACAAAAGCTTTGCAGGATAACAGTCAAACACATTTAAATTCCAAGTAATCAAACCAAGATTTACCAAATGAACAAGCACCCCAGCATCAAAATTACTAGATTCAATATAAATATTAATAAGCAGTGTGTAAAGATACTTACATAGGATTTTAAATGCTGTGAGTTTTCTGTTCCACTCAAAAGGTATAATTTGAGACTAGGGTGATAGTTTAGTGGATAAAGAGCCTGCCATACAAGCATAAAGACCTAAATTTGGATCCCCAGTATCCACAGAAAGCCAAGCATGGTGGCATGCATCAGGAACCACTGGGGAGGGACAGGTTCGGATTCTTAAAACTCAATCTAGCCAACCAGTGAGTCAGGTTGGGTCAAAAATCCTATCTCAAAACCTAAGGTGAAGAAAGACTGAGGAAGAGGCATGTCAACCCCTTGCCTCCAGGTGCACACGCATGCACACCTGCACACATAGCCACGCAAGCACATACACACACAAAGGCAGTCTGTATCACCCTGCCTGAATCTGTAAAGGCTGCCAGGCCTGATGACTTGCTTTGACTAGTAAGATATGGCAGAAGTAACACACACTGTGACTAAAAGTCTTACAGTCTCTGCACTCCCTTTCTTGGACTGGCACTGAAGGGACACTGGCCCACTCAAGCATGTGGCTCTGGCAGGCCTCGCCCTCCCCCATTCCTTCTGCTGTGCTAAAAACCTCTAGATGACATCCCTAAAGCTGGCCACCAAGGTCTATTCTCTTATTTGGCCACTTCCTCTTCCTGAGGCTGACTCCCAAAGTCCAGCAATCACAGCTCCCTTTGACTCATGTAATTAACATGGAAAATTAAAATTAAAGGCCTCATCCTAACATGGGGTTTCCCCCTTTACCTTTGTAAACTGCCATTTGCCTATGTGCCCTGTGTGTCTCCTCTCTATCCAGAGGCAGTCCTCTGTCCCTCTGGGACAAATACCCTTGCCCCTTTCCCTTGTCCCCTTCCCCCTCATCCCCTATCTCCTCTACCACCCCATCCTAGCCCATTCTAACACAGACCTCCCCTTTCCTCCTCTTAAACATTCCACTGCAAGGTCACTGCTGCTGCTTTCTGCCTGAGTCAGAAGCGGCCGCTGTAACTTTTCTTCCCCACTTAATAAAGGCTCTCTCTGTGAAAACAGGTGTTTGAGTGTGGTCTGTGCCTAATCGGGGGTCAGGGAGGAAGCCACCACTGTTTGGGGTTCTCCTTCAGGCACATCATGTGAAAAGTCCAGGTTTGGCATGTAGAGAAACATCTCCACTGAAAGCCAGCATCATGGCAGCTAGCTCCAGATAATTTTTCCTAACATTAAGAAACGCTACACGACTCCAGACAAAACCAACTGATGAACAACAGCCAGCTGAGCCCAACACAAAGTCCTGCTCCAGTGGACAGAAAGTGGCTGTGGCTGTGCAGGAGCAGGCGGGAGTACGGTGAGATCGCTCAGGAGGATAGAGCACATGCTGCAAAGCTTGACGCTGGACTTCAATCCCTGGGACCCACGTGGTGAAGGAAAGAAGCAAGTGTTTTCTGAGTCCCACACATGTGCCTGGCATGCATGCACTACCACCCCATACACAAGTAAATAAATGTAACTTTGTTTGTTTGCTTGTAAATATGCACACATGCATCTATCCACATGCCCATGGAGGCCAGAAGAAGTGGCTGTGAGCCACTCAATGCAGGTGCTGGGAACAGAACTCCAATTGCTCTGGAAAAACAGCTTTGTTTAACCACTGAACCATCTCTACCAAGAGAAAATTTAAATTAAAAGGAATTATGAGTATATACCTGCATATATGCAAACAACATGCATGCCTGTACCCATGGAGGTCAGAAAAGGACATTTGCCACTGGAACTGGGAATTATGGATGGCTATGAATTACCAGATAGATGCTGGGAACAAAGCCCAAGTCCCCTGCAAGAGTAACATGTGCTCTCTACCACTAGCCATCTCTCTAGCCTCCCTCATTAAAAAAAAAAAAATTAACAGAAAGTAGTTGTTTAAGTCAGTATGCTAGACAGAAAAATAGTTCCTCAAAAATGCTTGTGTTCTAATCTTTTGGAATCTTGAAGTGTAAACACTATCCTGGGTTATCTGAGGGGACCCCACAAAGCACAGTGGTTCTTAGTTACAGTGGGAAAAGGAAGCAGGAAGATCCGTCAGGAAGATGATGATAGAAGCAGATGTCAGGATGTTGAGAATGAAGCTCTGAAAATGGACAAAGGTGCCAGAAGCCAAGGTATGCAGAGGATCTAGAAGTTGAAAAGGTCTAGGAAATAGATCTTCTCCTAGAGCTTCCTGTGGTGACATATTATGTCCCCTTTTAAACTTGCCTGAGGGTCAGAGGACAGCCAGGCACTAGAGAGACCCAGAGGTCAGGCAGCGGTGGCACACACCTTTAATCCCAGCACTTGAGATCTCACGCCTTTGTCTGGAAAGCACACACGCCTTTAATCCCAGGAGGTAATATGGCAGGAAGCAGAAAGGTATATAAGGCATGAGGCAACAGTAACTCACTCTCTTTAGGTGAGGATTTCGTAGAGTTAAGAACTAATGGCTGGCTGTTCTGTTTCTCTGATCTTTCAGTTCTCACCCTGATATTTGTCTCTGGGTTTGTTTTTTTTTTATTAAAAGACCACCTAAGATTCGAACAACAGCTTCCAGAAGGAATGAAATCTTACCCACACTTGACTTTGACTTGATAAAACCCACTTCAGACCTATGACTTATAGAACTGAAAAACAGTAAGTGTCTAAGCCACTAATTTGTTTTTTGAGACAGGTCTCCTGGACCTCATTCTGTAGCCCAGGCTGGCCTCAAACCCACAAGAGATGCACTTGCCTCTGTCTCCTGAGTGCTGGGATTAAAGGAGTGCACCATAATGCCCAGCTTAAGTCACTAAATTTATAATTTGTTACAGCTTCAAAACTAATACAGACACTCAGATCTGAAGTTGTGACAAACAGCAGAAAAATGACCCAAATAGGAAGTCTTTCATAACCCACTTCCCAAGGAGAAAAATGCTAAATAATCTTGTGTTTTATTAAATAAATATCAATATAAAATAAAATAGTTATACTTCAAAACTTAGCCACTGGTAAAATCATGAATATTCCTTTTTTCTTACTCTGAATCAATAGACATTCCAATTTGAATCACTGAGGTATAAAACAATTTATTCTCCCTCAAATGTTCACAATTAAAGGATACAGATAATCATTACCCTGCATACATAGAGCAGTAATTAATACAGATTGAAGATGAAGCTATTTATTTGACCTGTTTAATTCCTTGATTAAAATAGAACAATTTTTAAGAACCCCTTAGAAGGAGTGTGGTGGCCACTCTTGTCCCAATACTCGCAAGGCTGACGGGGGAGAGGTAGAAAGATCATGAGTGGGAAGCCAGTATGGGATACAAAACTAGTTCAAACTAGACTGGTCTCTAAAGCAAGACCCCGCCTAAAACAAAACATGAATTAAATCTGGGTTAAGGCACAACTCTCTGCACTTAGAATATCTTCTAACTTAGGTTCACTGAAAGGAGCACACTCAATCAAAATGCTGTGCGATTAAAATATTTCATGAGCCCAAGACCTTCATTCCCCAAAGAAGTCTCCTTCAACCAACTCAAAGGTGATCAGACTGCCATACAAATTCCTAACAGTTGGATAATCTCCGTCCATAAAATACATCACCGAAAAAGCAAAAGCACCCTACTTATATCCATCCATGGACATGCCCAACATTCCACTCCCTGTAGTCAAGCACTTGAGTCAGCTGCCATGAGCAATGACTCACAACAGAAGATGTGGTTTTGCCATTCAAATGCACACAAGTGCTCTCTTGTTTGCAATGGAGTCAAAACTAGATGATAAAAGAAAATAAAATTTAAATACTCTAAAGAACAAAATAAGGCTAATAAGTGCCAAAGGCTTTTTATTGAAGAAATAATATGTCCTCTAAATTACACAAATGTGAGTGCGAAGTATTTTAAGTAGACCTTCCTTATATTGCATCATTTAAATATAAAATATTTTCCTTCCCCTCCCCGCCCAAAAAATAGGATGGAGAACATAAAAAGGAAAGCAGTGGGAGAGAGGGATGAATTAAAACCAAGTAAAATGACACCTATGTATGAAAATGCTGTGATAAAACCCATTACTTAGAATGCTATGTCAATTTTTTTAATCCCACCTTCAGTTGGGTGTGGCAGTGCACACATATAATCCTAGTATTCTGAGGATGGAGACAGGAGGATCAGGACATCAAGGCCAGTCTCGTCTACATAACAAGTGACAGAAAATTGGAGACCGGTATGGGATACACAAAATCCTATCTCAAACCGGGCGTAGGGGGTGTAGCTCAGTCTTTACAAGGCCTATGTTCAATCCCTAATACCAGAAATAAAACTTCTGATATGTTAATTCAACAAGATGCTTTTAAATATGTTTGATGTTGGAGAAAATATCTTTGAGCAGGAGAAAACAGCCCATTTAGAATGCATACATTCTGGAAGGAACCACATCTAACAGGTAAGTGCAAGTGAAATATGTGATTTGGCAAGGAAGCTCTAGAGATCAACTTGCAAACTGGAAGTTAAACGTGAGTTTAAAAAGCAGAAAAGGCAGGTAAAGTGAGAACATGCTGGACATCAGGGCAGCAGGGAGAAGAAAAGCCCAAGGAAAACAGTATTTACCAGGACTGTAGCACTTGAAGCAGGAGTTATTAAGAGAATTAGACGCTAATGTCCTGCCATTAATGTAACGAGTTAATTTCTTTTGTTTTATGACAGCATTGGTATGGAATCATCCTGGGAGAATTTTTTAAAAATAATTGTCTGTGTTGCATGGTTTTGAGTAAGACACTTGTTGAAAAAGTCATTTATACTGACATTCAGTCCTTTTTTAGTCCAAAATAAAAACTGTATCAGAAATTCATTTCCCAGTACAAAAATGTTATGAAGGCTATTGAGTACCTAGTAGTTGGAACTCACTCACAGTGTCCTCATTACCAATTAAGGTAAAGATGTCAGAGCTGTGATTCCAACTGCAACTGACCTAGCTTTTCATAACATAAACTACGAGTTAAGGCATGCACATTTCCAAACACATTCCAAAATGGCTCAAACAGGAAGTTATTTTCAACTGAGTTTTGTACTAGCTTCAAAGGGGCATTTTAAAGTAAAAGCACAAATTTCAACCAACTTCCCAAAGTGTTTTGTTCTAGTCGGTTACTAAAAACATATAGTGCTACTCATTCTTTTAGTAACATAATATCACTTTTAATGTCAATATAATCTAGAATTGTGGTAATTTTTACTGGCATTCAAGTTTTAAAAATAAAAATGTTTTCAATACGCATATATTTTGAGACAAGGTTTCTGTGTAGCCCTGGCTGTCCTGGAACTCGCTCAGTAGACCAGGCTGGCTTGAACTCAGATCCTCCTGCCTCTCCTTCCTGAGTGCTGGGATTAAAGGCGTGTGCCACCACCACCCAGCTGACATAATTTTTAAAGAGTCACTGTAAGTGACAGATATTTGGTAAACAAAATATGTCCTAGATGTTTCTATTAGAATTTTTTTTCAATTCATTTATTTTTATTATGTGTATGGGTGGATGCCTGGGTACCACACGTGTATCTATCTGGTGCCTGAGGAGGCCAGAAGAAAGCATTGGATTTCCTGAGACTGGAGTTACAGACTGCTGTGAGACTGGAAGGGGTGCTGGGACTTGAACCTGGGTCCTCTGGAAGAGCAGGGTTCTTAACAGCTGAGCCATCTCTCCAACCCTCTTCTAGAACTATTAAAGTTAACAAAGTGTTGTTTCCCTCAAGATAACAGAGAACTTCAGACGTGGGAAAAGCCTAACTGTCATGTTGAAACCTTTAATGGTTGAAACCCTAAATGTCTTGGGCTTGGCTTATGACTAAGTTATGCACTTATTAAGTACACTACCCAAATTAAATTACTCCTATCTTCTATGACATTTTCCAATGTAGTACAGAAACACTGTACGCCCACTTTGCAAAACTGACAATATAGTCTTGAAATGTGCACAACAGTTTAAAGAAAGAGGAATAAAGAAAAAGAGGAACTGCTCTGGAATAAGCGTGGGCAAACAGCAACGGGAAATTCCTTAATGTCACTGCACAGCTGCAACATGAAGCTGAAACTGGAGAAATAATAGGATTAACAACGTAAGCTAGACACTATTCCCAAGGAGACGAGGAAGGTATTGTTTGGAATGATATGCTCCATGAACACTTCAGTGTACTAACCTTACATCGCACGCTAGTAATTTTGGTTTGTACAATAAGCCTGTTTCCTTTCAATCAGCGTTAATCCTGCGCATGGGGCTTCTGAAGTTAGCAGAGCAGTGACGTCTGGAGGAACTAGAGGCTAAAGCACCTGCTCACTTGGACTCGGCTGATTTCATCACAGGATTCTTAAGTGCACAGCTCCTCAGGGCCCGTGAACCCTCTATCACTTCCCATCAGATTCCAAGCACTCAGTCACTGGGCTGACTCCACCCTGCCAACTATTCCAGCTTTCCGGGAGGGCCGGTCCCACCAGGCCCCAAGCCGCACTCTCCCAGGAGAAGGCAAGACTTGGGATAAAGGAGGCCAGTGCGCTTTAAGTCACAGGGAACCGAAGGGCAGGGTCAAGCTAGAGCAGGCCGGCGCTCGCACCCAGTGCCAGCACTCGGGAGGTGGAGGAAGGCCGGCCTCGGCTACAGAGTTCGGGGGGCTAGCGTGGGGTTTTGAGGCCCTGCCTTCCCTGCCTTCCCCAGGGTCTGAAGCTTGCCCCTGTTTCCCCTGGAGCGGCAGAGCCCGGGAGGCTGCGACCCCGCGGCTTCCGCCCGCCTGCACGCTCGCGGCGCGCACGCGCCGTACTGCCTGCCGGTGGGCCGCAGGCTGACAGCCAGCGCGGGCGGGGGTCCCGCGGGGGTCATGGTTCACAGCACCCGCAGAGTCGTCTCTCACCTCCGTAAACGGGTCCATCGCCCCAGGCCTCACGCGTGGACTACGAGACGGTGGGTCCGGTGGTTCAAATTCAGGAAAAGGAAAGAAGTGAGTGCGGGCTCGGCGCGGCTCCCGGAGGAAAGGCAGGCGTCCGGGCGGCGGGCTCTCCCACACCCAGTAGCCTCTGGCCTCGGCACCGGGGTCCGTCGGCTACCACGGCCGTTCAAATTTGAATTTCAGCGCCCCGGACGGCGCGCATGCGCGCGGGGCCGGGCAGGGACCGGGCGGGGCCGGGCGTGTCCCCGCCCCCCCCCCGAGCCTGGTCACGTGGCACGGCGGCGCTCGGCCCGGTCGCGAGCTGCGGGCCTCCTCCCTCGCCGGCGTGGGTGGGGACGCTCCCGCCGTTGAACTGCCTGCCGAGGGCGCCTGCTGCCGCGCACGCACCCACGCATGCCCTAGCGGGTCACCCCTCTGGTGACTCCGTCAGCTCCCGCCGCCCCGCCGCCCTGCCTTTTTACTCGGTGGGCCTTACGAACCCGGCCCGGGTCCCCGCTGGCCCTCGAGCCTGATGGTCATTTTGTCTCCTGCCACCAGAAGAGGCATCGGACTGCAAGCTTGACCCTCCTGAGAGGCTCCTCTGGTGGGTCCCCACACCCGCATCTAGTAACTAGTCCCTTGTCCTTGGGAAAATGAGCTAACAGTAGTAGACGTGCGACAAGTTCATTCACAGGCCCTGCTGTTTCAGATCCCAGCCACCTGTACCCAGTGTCAGCACTGAGAACACTTGAGAAGCCTTCTAGTTCAATCTTCCACGTTTGAGAGAAGGCACGATTGAAAAGCCCGTATTTAATAAAAGTTCCCGTTTACCAGCCGGTAAGCAGGGCAGAAACTACTTCCCAATGTCTCTTAATCCGAGTTTCTTTTTCCTCTTCCTGGGAGGGTCTTTTGGAGATCTCGGTGCCTATACTTTGACCTTCAGACATAGGCTTTCCACGAAGCAGAGTCTTAACAAAACAGGGCTGTCAAATCCTGACTGTAGAACTGTTTCCCTTTATACCAAAAAAGGTTGAGAAAGCACCGAAATCTGCATGCTCTGTGTGCCAGGTTGGTGCTATGAGACCTAAAGTCCTTAGGAGAGTGTGTAAAAGAAAAATACATTAACAAGGCCTATGGTGAGTCCATGTGTGATAAATGGGCCCGTGACAGGATCGAGTGTGCTTTCCTTGTTGAGCAGAAAGTCGTTGTGAACATGTTGAAGGGTCAAGAGTCAGAAAACTAAATAAAAACAGGAAGCTTGGGACCAGTAACAGGGTCCATGCTATAAATGTACTTGTTGCCAAGCCTTGAGACCTGAATTCTAGGCCTAGAATCAGTTCCAGCAAATTGTCCTCTGACCTGCACACACACAGAAAATAAATAAATCTAAAAACAACAAAGAAAAATAATCTATAGATTATAATAAATCAAATTCTGGACATGGAATAAGAGCAACTTCTTAAGAATCCAGCTTCCACACTGGGTCTACAGTATAAACTTTCTCAGTTCCTTGGAGCTGTGGAATGATAAAAAAAAAAATGAGAAGAGCTGTGTCTAAGTGTGTCGTGTGTGGGGTTGTTAGAATGTAAGTCAAATGTGCTACCTATGAACCAAAGGGAAAGGATGCCTGAGCCTAAGGGGTGTGTGCATGTGGGGTGTGGCTATCCCTCTTGGGAATGAGTCATTGGAAATTTATGTAGCCGTTGTGCCTTGTGGCTGTTGCCTCTGTGATCCATGGTTTCGTTATAAACAACAGTTTGATTCTAGCCAGCTTGAATAAAGCAGTATGGCTACTCTGAACTTACAGTTTCTTTCTCCTTGCAAACCCTGGAGTAGTGGCCTTCGATTATGTCTTAGTTGTAGTGGCAGTTGGGACAGCAGCTCCCCCCAGCACAATAGCTTCCATGTATGAAAGCAGAACCCATGCTACAGATTCAAAGCTACCCCACTAGACGGCTATAGTTGTCTCTTAATGTGTCTACGTGAGTTTCTGACCCACGGCAGTTCATTCTTATGTTTATAACCTGGAATAACTTTTTTCATTTAAAAAAAAAATCAGCACGTAGGAGGAGGAGGCGGAAGAATCAGGAGTTCAAGGCCAACCCCTGTCTAGGAAAAAAGAGACAACAGCACATACATACCACATTATCTTCATTTAAGATGATAGCCAAGGAGCTGGAGAGATGGTTGAGCAATCAAGATCACTGGCTGCTCTTCCCAAGGACCCAGCTTCCCTTCCCAGCACCCACGGGGTGGCTCATAATCATCTTTAACTCCAGTCCCAGGTGTCCAGTTCCCCTTCAGCCTCTGTGGACACCAGGTAGGCACATGATGCACAGACATTCATGCAGACAAAACATCCATACACATAAAAAAAATCTTTTTCAAAAAACAAGAATCTCAATAGAGATAATGAGCCCCTAGAAAATGAGTATTTCCCCTTTGGATAATCTGTTCTTTCAAACAAATAATTATGTCTCCAAAAGTAAGTTCCAGGATAGCCAGGACTGTTACACAGAGAAACCTTGTCTCAAAATACCAAAACAAAACAAGACAAAACAACCAAAAGTAGTAGACAGGAGTAAACATGGGGCAAACATTAATGAAATAGATATAAAGAAATATAAGGAATCAATAAAATAAAGCTTTGATTCCTTAAAAACATATAGTATTGACAGACCCTTAGCCAAACTAGCCAAAAGAAAGAAAGCGAAGGCCCTAATTAACAATATTCAACATTGGCCAGTCATGGTGGCACATGCTGTTAACATTTGCACTCACTCTGGGAGCAGTTTGAGTTTCAGTGAGTTTCAGCGAGGCTACACAGTGAGACCCTGTGTCTTAGGGTTTTATTGCTGTGAAGAGACACCATGATCACGACAACTCTTTCTTTTTTTCTTTTTGTTTTTTTGTGTTTTGTTTTCCAAGACAGGGTTTCTCTGTGTAGTTTTGATGCCTGTCCTGGATCTTGCTCTGTAGATCAGGCTGGCCCCGAACTCATAGAGACCCGCCTGGCTCTGCCTCCTGAGTGCTGGGATTTAAGGCATGCATCACCACAGCTGGGCTGTTTTCTCTGAAATTTTTAAAAATTTATTATTGTATGTGTATGGGTGTTTTGCCTGCATGAGTATCTGTGAGCCCTATTCCTGCCTGGTGCCTCTGGAGGCCAGAAGAGAGTGTTAAATACCTGGAGTTACAGAGCCACCATATGGCAACTAGGAGTAGAACTTGGGTCATCTGGAAAAGCAGCCCGTGCTCTTAACCATGGGGCGATCTCTCTAGCCTTCTCTCAGAATTTTTAAATATAGATGCTTTTGGCTACAAAAGTCCTTCTCCTGGTTGTTTTTCTTGTATACCACAGGTTTTGGTATGTTGTGTTTTAATTTTTACTTAATTTCATGCATTTAAAATTTTCTGTCGTGATATTTTTCAGTGTCTCAATCAGCAGTCAGTGGTGTTTTGTTTAATGTCAACAATTCTGTATATTTTCTGTATTTCTTGTCTGGTTGATTTCTAGCTTTATTCCACCATGATCAGATCAAATATAAGAAGTTACTACAATTTTTCTATACTTATTGAAATGTGCTATGTGTCCTGGTATATGGCCTATTTTAGAGGGAGTTCCACAGCTGCTGAAAAAAATGCATAGTCTGCAGTATTTGCATGGAATGTTCTCTAGATGTCTGTTAAGTCCATTTGATATATGATGCCATTAAGCTCTGATGTGTCTCTGTTTAACTTTTGTTAGAATAACCCCTGTAGGATACAAATGAGAGTAAGACATCACAGTCACCCACATTTACTGTGTTCTAGCATGACTTAGATTTTTCTGTAGACTCTTATATTTTATCTTTCCCTCAGCCTGAAGAATCCCTTTTAGTAGTGACCTCTGTAGAGCTGCATTATTGGTCGTAAATTTCTTTAACCTGCTTTTATCATGGAAAATTTTTCTTTATCCTTCAATTACAACAGATAATTTTGCTGAGTATAGTAGTCTGTCTTGGCAGCTCTGGTCTTTCAGAGCCTGAAACATATTTCTCCAAGCCTTTTTGGACTTTAAAGCTTCTATTGAGCAGTCTGCTAGTGTTTTTATGGGCTTGCCTTAATATGTGCCTTGATATTTTTATTTTGCAACTTCCAATGCAATTCTTTCCTTTCTTTATTTTTTTTAATTACACTCATGATATTAATTATATTTGTGGTATTCATTGATTAAAAAATAATTATGTCTCTAATAGATAAAATTAATAGCTAAAAAACCACAAAAATGTAATAGCATTAAGTTCATCAAGGACACTACAAATATATACATTTCCAGTTAATTTTTCAAAATTCACATACATTCTCACAATTGACAAAATAATATAATAACTTAGATATTTGTATTTTTACAGAGAGAGAAAAGGCCAAGACCTGACCAGAAGGCTGTGGCAAGAAGGATCAGACAAAAGTTCTCCGCCACAGGTTATCTGGCTGATCAGCCACTCCTTTTATATGTGTATTGTAATGAAGGAATAAGAACTACAAAAAGTTGCTATCAAGTGAGGCGCAGGGTGACTTCGGTGCAGGACTAGCCCTGGCCGCATAGTGAGTTCCAAGCCAGCCTGGGCTACCTAGTAAGACCTTGTTTCAAACACCCACAATATTTTATGTGCGGGTGGGCATAGTGGTGAGTGCTTGTAAGCCCAGCCTCTTCAGATGGACACCATGAGAGGACCACCAATTTGAAGCCAGCCACATCATTTAGTGAGATTCTGTCCTAACTAAAAATGGGCTGGCCAGGCGATGGTGGTGCACGCCTTTAATCTCAGCACTCGGGAGGCAGAGCCAGGTGGATCTCTGTGAGTTCCAGGCCAGCCTGGTCTACAGAGCAAGATCCAGGACAGGTACCAAAACTACACGGAGAAACCCTGTCTCGAAAAAAACTAACTAACTAACTAACTAACTAACTAACTAAATAAATAAATAAATAAATAAATAATAAATAAAATAAAAATGGGCTTGGGTGTGGCTCAGTGACAGTGCTTGTATAGCAGTAGGAGAGGCCCGCCCTGTGTATAACCCTTACTCCTGGAGGGGGAGGGGAGTCCTCTTCACATCTTGCCCCATTTCTACTTT